AGGGTTTATTTACTGTACAAGTTGATAAAAAGGCAACACATAAATCATGAGTAGTATTAGTTGATGGTGCATTAGTACAAATCTTATCTTTGCAGCCTGAACTTGTAGTATCCCAGAAACAAGTAGCTCCATAAACATTTTTGATACAAGCAGCTTCTAAAGTGATATTTGAACATGTAGTATTTGTTACACATCCACCTCCTGTCTTTGTTATACAATTATTATTTGGTAAATATGCTTCACATGCATCATTAGTTGTTAATGTTGTTGGAGCATTTGTACAACTTCTAGATTAACATCCACCTCCTGCTTTAACTGTACATGTTGGTAAATATGATGTACACAATTCATGAGTATTATTAGTTGTTGGTGAATTGCCACAAGTCTTTTCTTTGCATGTTGTATCCCAAATACAATCAGTTCCTGATGAATTTTTAACACAAGCTGCTTAGACATTTGCAGCAGAACAAGCTCCATTAGATACACAACCTCCACCTGATTTAGTAATACATCCAGTTACAAATCCAGCACAAGCTGAATTAGTTGTCATAGTAGTTGGTGCATTTGTGCATATCTTATCAACACAAGCAGTTCCAGTCCAAAAACAATCACCACCTGAACTATTTTTAACACATGCAGCTAAGATAGTTGCAGCTGCACAAGTAGTTCTAGTAATACAACCTCCATTAGGTTTAGTTGTACATGTTCCATCAGTTCTAAAGGTTTTACATGTTTCATCAGTTGTTAATGTTGTTGGTGCATTATCACAAATTCTATCTTTACATGCTGCTCCATCCCAATAACATGCAGTTGTTCCTAATTTATTCCAAACACATTAAATTTCTAATGTTTAATCACTACAATTATTTCCACTATCAACACATCCCCCTCCAGTCTTTGTAGTACAAGTTGATATCACATCTCTACATTCTTTATCTGTAACAAATGTAATTGGTAATCTATCACAAGCATTAGCATCTACACAAGTATTATTTGTTGTGTCCCAATAGCACAATCTTCCTGCTGCATTTTTGACACAAGGAAGTTGTTTCTTGTATGTACTACAAGCATCAAGTTCAACACAATGAGTTCCATCTGTAATACATCTATTACTTATTGCTTAACATTCAGGTTCTGTTTTTTTTGCAAAGGCTGTGCATCCGGTGAAATGTGTGCATTATCCTTCAACCCAGGCGCAGGCAGCATAACTTCCACAATCTGTGCATGGTTTAATTTTTGGACAATTTGCTTCAGAAAATCTATCGCAATATGTTGCATACGTCAATGTTGGAATAGTTGAAACTGCACAAGTTTTTGTAGTACTATTCCAAGAACATCTAATTGAAGCATTTTTTATACAATCTCCTTCTGATAATAATTATGCACATGTGCATTATGTTATACTTAATTTTTGGCTTGTTGTTATTGCAAGCAATAATGAAAAAAGTATGAATAATTTATACATTAATAGTAAAATACATGAAAAAGATAGGTCGAGATAAAAACAATGCTTTCTAATTCGTCATAATTTTGGATTTATTTTTTTTAGTTAATTGGTATTAATACTACTTTTATATTATTTAGTTAAGAATAAAATCCTATAAATAATTGAAAGAAAGCCATGGTACTATTTTATTTGAAATACAATAAATTTTTTGCTAAATTATTTTGATATAATGTCATCTCAGAAATTTTATCCTTTTAATAGAATTGATAGGAGATTGATATTTTTCCCAAAACTTTACAAAAAATTGAATTAAGAGAATTGTATTATTTTCTCTAATTCATTGTTTGGGCATTTTTAGGATTTCATTTTATTAAAAAGAGTATTTGTTGATAAAATCAATGATTAAAGAGAATTTCAAAATAGTATTAACAAATTGAGTTTAAATTTATTGAATCAAAGAAAGTCTTTTAAATATTTCGAGTAACATGGAGGGTAAGAGGAAGGTTTTGAGGATTTTTTTAATAATATTGTAATATAACATATTTGATAATTGATAAAAGTCAAAATAATGTATANAACAATCACCACCTGAACTATTTTTAACACATGCAGCTTAGATAGTTGCAGCTGCACAAGTAGTTCTAGTAATACAACCTCCATTAGGTTTAGTTGTACATGTTCCATCAGTTCTAAAGGTTTTACATGTTTCATCAGTTGTTAATGTTGTTGGTGCATTATCACAAATTCTATCTTTACATGCTGCTCCATCCCAATAACATGCCATTGTTCCTAATTTATTCCAAACACATTAAATTTCTAATGTTTAATCACTACAATTATTTCCACTATCAACACATCCACCTCCAGTTTTAGTTGTACAAGTTGGTATCACATCTCTACATTCTTTATCTGTAACAAATGTAATTGGTAATCTATCACAAGCATTAGCATCTACACAAGTATTATTTGTTGTGTCCCAATAGCACAATCTTCCTGCTGCATTTTTGACACAAGGAAGTTGTTTCTTGTATGTACTACAAGCATCAAGTTCAACACAATGAGTTCCATCTGTAATACATCTATTACTTATTGCTTAACATTCAGGTTCTGTTTTTTTTGCAAAGGCTGTGCATCCGGTGAAATGTGTGCATTATCCTTCAACCCAGGCGCAGGCAGCATAACTTCCACAATCTGTGCATGGTTTAATTTTTGGACAATTTGCTTCAGAAAATCTATCGCAATATGTTGCATACGTCAATGTTGGAATAGTTGAAACTGCACAAGTTTTTGTAGTACTATTCCAAGAACATCTAATTGAAGCATTTTTTATACAATCTCCTTCTGATAATAATTATGCACATGTGCATTATGTTATACTTAATTTTTGGCTTGTTGTTATTGCAAGCAATAATGAAAAAAGTATGAATAATTTATACATTAATAGTAAAATACATGAAAAAGATAGGTCGAGATAAAAACAATGCTTTCTAATTCGTCATAATTTTGGATTTATTTTTTTTAGTTAATTGGTATTAATACTACTTTTATATTATTTAGTTAAGAATAAAATCCTATAAATAATTGAAAGAAAGCCATGGTACTATTTTATTTGAAATACAATAAATTTTTTGCTAAATTATTTTGATATAATGTCATCTCAGAAATTTTATCCTTTTAATAGAATTGATAGGAGATTGATATTTTTCCCAAAACTTTACAAAAAATTGAATTAAGAGAATTGTATTATTTTCTCTAATTCATTGTTTGGGCATTTTTAGGATTTCATTTTATTAAAAAGAGTATTTGTTGATAAAATCAATGATTAAAGAGAATTTCAAAATAGTATTAACAAATTGAGTTTAAATTTATTGAATCAAAGAAAGTCTTTTAAATATTTCGAGTAACATGGAGGGTAAGAGGAAGGTTTTGAGGATTTTTTTAATAATATTGTAATATAACATATTTGATAATTGATAAAAGTCAAAATAATGTATAAATAATATATTTTAAACTAATATCTATTATATATTCTAATTATTATATGACATGTAAAATAAGAAAAAAGAATTGATGTTTTTTATTTTAACAAAAGAAACAAATTAAAGTTTAGTTACTTTTAGGTTTATCAAAAGAACCTATTAAAATTTAATGATAAACCATTCGAAAAAATAATTTTTTTGATTATTGATAATTTTTCCCTATATAAATTTATAAAATCATTCTCATCATAACATGAGATATCCAAAGATGATTGTTGATAATCCAAGAATATATCCTGAATCAGTTGTTGTTTCATTATTTGTATTGTTTGTATTATTATCTGTATTATTTGGTTAAACAACAGGTGCAGTGCAAACTCCACATTTGCTTGTTGATGCATTCCATGTATATGTATATCCAGAAATCAAGAAGCAATCATTTGATGATAAAGTTGATGGATCTGTAGCTGTACATGTTCCACTAACAAGAGTACAAACTTATTAAGTCTTTTTATCCCAATTCAAGATTCTTGTACAAACTCCATTTGTGGCTTAATTTGTAGCGCATGTGTGAGAGACACATTTACTAGCAACAGCAGTTGTACCAGTTCCTGATGCTGGAGTCCATGAACATCTATCTCTGGCTTATTAACAAGCTGTTTAATCATTATTAGCAGTGGTACATGCTGTCATTGATGCACAAGTTCCAGAGTCAGCAGCAGCTCCAGTTGCAGTTGATAAAGTGAAGACACATATTCCGTCCAATCCACCTGAGTTGCATGATATTTTATTTTTATAAGTTGAACAATTAGCTTTAGGAATACAAGCAGTTCCATTTGAAATACATGATTACAAAGCTACTGAACAAACATTGGTTGCTGTACCATTTTGAATATCAGAGCAAGTTAATAATCTACATTTAGCAGTGTTATTATTTGTAGCAGAAGCAAGTTCCCAATAACAATTACCATCAGATCCAATAGCAGTTGTACAAGCAGTTTAAGTTGTGTATGATGAACATGCTCCTTTGAGTAAACAAGTTGTTCCATCAGATGTACATGTTGATAATTATGAAGAACATGCTGCATGATTTGTTCCAGTCAAATCAGCACATGATTAATCTCTGCAACTACTAGCTGTTGCATCCCATGTACAAATACCAGTTGAAGTGATGACTCCAGATGTTAAAACAGTTCCCTTATCATTGAAAACACATCCTGCTTATGAAGTATAAGATGAGCATTAACCTAAAGCAATGCAACCAGTTAGTCCATTTGTTGTACACTTTTTACTAGCAATTTGACAATCAGAATGAGTTGTATAGAAAGCATCAGCACAAGATGTATATGGTTTACAAACCTTTGGGTCTGAAGAGTTCAAGGCTGGTACTGATTGTATACAAGCTCCATCATATCCTGTAACACATCCACCATCAGTATTAGTTTCAGAACATAAAGTAATACCAATACAATTAGATCCATTAGTTGTACATTATTTACTTATCCATTTACATTATGCATCAGAATTCCAAGTCAAACTCTTACATGAAGTATATCTAAAGCAAGCTCCTGTAGATCCATCAGTATTAATATAATCATTAATCCACAAACAAGGTCCGTTTGTTCCTTCAATGCAAGCACTTCTAATTGTAGTTTGTTCACAATTTTAAATTCTAGCACATTTTCCACTTGCACCAACAGTACATCCAGCTCTTTAACCTTAACATGCAGCATGAGAAGTTCCACTGAAATCTTAGCAATCTTTGTCTCTACATTTATTTTATGCATTATCCCAAGCACAAATAGTTCCATTAAGAGCAGTTGTACAAGCAACATCAATAGTGACAGCTGAACATGTAGACTTAGTAACGCATCCACCTCCATTCTTTGTTGTGCAATTTGGGAAATAACCTGCACAGGCGGCTTCAGAAGTTAATGTAATTGGAGCAGTACTGCAATTTTTAATGGTACAAAATGCAGGTGAAGTTATTTGATTTAATGAGTTCGTAACAGCTGGTATCCATTCACAATATTGATCAGTTGAAGACATGATACATCCTGCTTGGCTTAGAGCTTAGAAGCATGTTCCTCTTGTTACACAATATGTTCCATTTGTTGTACATGTACTTAATGCTTATTTACATAAAGTATCAGTGGCAAAAGCAAAATCTTCGCAAACTTTTGTCTTGCATTTTACTGTATCTAAAGTGCATCCAGGTAAATATGTATTGCACTCATCAGCAGTAGCTGTTGCTTCTGGAGCATTTTCACAAGTTCTAGTAATACAAGCTGTTCCATTCCAATAGCATGGGTCACCAGCCTTATTATAATAACATTATTTCTGAGTCATTGTTTCACATGTTGCTGGGATATCTACACATCCTTATCCAGAATCTGAAACTGTACATTTATTAGTTATATAAGCCCTGCATTTTGTATCATCGTCATAATCTGCAGTGGCAGGTGCTGTGGCACAAGCTTTGTCAGCACATTATGTTCCATTCCATCCACATGGATCTCCATTAGCATTAATTTAGCATTATTCTTTATCAATATAAGTTGAGCAAGCAGCTGTTTATTAACAACCTCCTAAAGTTGGATTACCACCACTAGTGCTTGGAGTGGCAACTACTGTACATTTTATTGTTGCAGTATTATAGTAAGCATAACAATCATTATGAGTTGTGGTAGTAGTAGGAGCGCTAGTACAAGATTTATCTTGGCAAGCAGGTGCAGGTAAATTGGCATTTGTGTTCCAAACACAAACACCGCTACTAGCGTTTGTTTTGCATTATTCTTCAATAGTATATGAATTGCATGCTCCTCGAGCCATACATCCAGGGGCAGCAAGATTATTTGTAGCTCTAACTGTGCAACTTGGATCAACAGCGGCGCATTCAGCATCAGTATCAAATGAAGTTGTGGTTTCAATATTACCACAATTCAAATCTACACAAGTCTTATTATTTGGATTCCAGAAACATGTACCACCACTTGTATTAAATTTACATTAAAGTTATGATTTATATAATGCACAAGCAGTTCTCGCTTGGCATGCTCCTTATCTAGCTACAGTACAAGATTATAAATAAGCTGAGCATTCACCATCATCATCACGTGTATTATCTGTTGCAGCTGTATCACAAGTCTTTCTTACACATGTTGTTCCAACTTACACACACTCTCCTTCAACTGAATAAAGACATGAAGTAGAAGATTAATCTGAACATTTAGATACCATAGTTTAACAGGCACTGTTTCCAGCATTTACAGTGCATGTATTAAGCCAATCTTTACAGTTTGTATGATTAAAAGGACCAATTGCGTTTAAGCATGTTTTTGTTGCACATGCAGTTGTTCCATTAACAGTACATCCAGTTTTCATTTCATTACAATTTGCGCTACTGTAATTGGTAGATCCTAAAAATACAGTTTCACAAGTTGCAGCTGTTGAGGCAGCCACACAAGCAGTATCAGTATTTGTGCTTGCAATACACAATCCAGCTGTTGATCTATAACAACTATTCATTTGACTAGTGTATCCAGAACATATGGCTTATTATTAGACACAAGCACTCTTTGCTCTATTTACACTGCATCCTGTATTATATGATTAGCAAATTTCATAAGTTATAGATCCAGCAGGTCCTGTTATTTTAAGACAATCAGTTGCTACGTTTAAAATTGTGATGCAAGTAGAGCTGAATAAATAACATTTTGGAGTTGCGGCAGTTTTAGTACAAGCTGCAGCAGTACCTGGATATTATTCGCATGTTGTTTTGAAGTCTTAACAAGAAGTTCCGCCAGTAACAGATGTACATCCTGTGCTATAAGCTTGACATTTAGCATGATCAAGACCAGTTCCTGTTATCACAGCACAGTTTTTATCTGTAATGGGATAGCAAGAGTTATCAATCCAAAGACATGCAAGGCTACCAGTAGTTTAATATGAGCATTTATTTTATGTTGTATAATCCTTGCAATTGCTTTTGGCTTCTTAACAACCAGTACCATCTTTTAAGGAGGCACATCCTGCATTATAAGAGGCACAAGTAGCATTAGTAAGTCCAGTTCCTGTAATATATGCACAGTGAGTAGCAACTATTGTAACTGAAAGACAAGCAGGTGTTTGACCACCCCAAACACAATTAGCAGCAGTTAAGGTATCTGATGATGTTGAACAAGTTGTTGAAGCTATATATGCAGCACAAGTAGATTTTTTTTCTTAACATGCTGTTCCAGCTTTATTAGCTGTACATCCTGCATTATAAGAAGCACATATTGTATCTGTAAGCCCACTTCCTGTGACAAATAGACAATCAGTTGCCACAGTAGTAACTGCTACGCAATTTGATCCATTCAATGCACATTTACCAGCAGATGATATCGAACAGGCTGTGGTTGTTGTTCCATATGCAGCACAAGTGGCCTTTTTTTCTTGACATGCATCCCCAGCTTTATTAGCTGTACATCCTGCATTATATGAAGCACATATTGTATCTGTAAGCCCACTTCCTGTGACATATGCACATTCAGTAGAAAGAAGAGCTATTCCTACTGTTAGACAGGTTGAACCGCTCCATACACATTGAGAAGCTGTTCCAGAGTCTGATGAGGTAGAGCAAGCTGCTTATGTAGATCCATATGCAGTACAAGTGGCCTTTTTTTCTTAACATGCTGTTCCAGCTTTATTAGCTGTACATCCTGCATTATATGAAGCACATATTGTATCTGTAAGCCCACTTCCTGTGACAAATAGACAATCAGTTGCCACAGTAGTAACTGCTACGCAATTTGATCCATTCAATGCACATTTACCAGCAGATGATATCGAACAGGCTGTGGTTGTTGTTCCATATCCAGTACAAGCGGCCTTTTTTTCCTGACATGCATCCCCAGCTTTATTAGCTGTACATCCTGCATTATATGAAGCACATATTGTATCTGTAAGCCCACTTCCTGTGACAAATAGACAATCAGTTGCCACAGTAGTAACTGCTACGCAATTTGATCCATTCAATGCACATTTACCAGCAGATGATATCGAACAGGCTGTGGTTGTTGTTCCATATCCAGTACAAGCGGCCTTTTTTTCCTGACATGCATCCCCAGCTTTATTAGCTGTACATCCTGCATTATATGAAGCACATATTGTATCTGTAAGCCCACTTCCTGTGACAAATAGACAATCAGTTGCCACAGTAGTAACTGCTACGCAATTTGATCCATTCAATGCACATTTACCAGCAGATGATATCGAACAGGCTGTGGTTGTTGTTCCATATCCAGTACAAGCGGCCTTTTTTTCCTGACATGCATCCCCAGCTTTATTAGCTGTACATCCTGCATTATATGAAGCACATATTGTATCTGTAAGCCCACTTCCTGTGACAAATAGACAATCAGTTGCCACAGTAGTAACTGCTACGCAATTTGATCCATTCAATGCACATTTACCAGCAGATGATATCGAACAGGCTGTGGTTGTTGTTCCATATCCAGTACAAGCGGCCTTTTTTTCCTGACATGCATCCCCAGCTTTATTAGCTGTACATCCTGCATTATATGAAGCACATATTGTATCTGTAAGCCCACTTCCTGTGACAAATAGACAATCAGTTGCCACAGTAGTAACTGCTACGCAATTTGATCCATTCAATGCACATTTACCAGCAGATGATATCGAACAGGCTGTGGTTGTTGTTCCATATCCAGTACAAGCGGCCTTTTTTTCCTGACATGCATCCCCAGCTTTATTAGCTGTACATCCTGCATTATATGAAGCACATATTGTATCTGTAAGCCCACTTCCTGTGACAAATAGACAATCAGTTGCCACAGTAGCAACTGCTACGCAATTTGATCCATTCAATGCACATTTACCAGCAGATGATATCGAACAGGCTGTGGTTGTTGTTCCATATGCAGTACAAGTGGCCTTTTTTTCCTGACATGCATCCCCAGCTTTATTAGCAGTACATCCTGCATTATATGAAGCACATATTGTATCTGTAAGCCCACTTCCTGTAACATATGCACATTAAACACTAAGGTTTGGTATTCCTACACTAAAGCAAGTGGTTCCATTCCATGCACAATTTGCTGAAGTTCCTGAATCTGAAGATTTTGAGCATGCTGAAGATGCAATGTAATTAGCACAAGTGGCCTTTTTTTCTTAACATGCTGTTCCAGCTTTATTAGCTGTGCATCCTGCATTATATGAAGCACATATTGTATCTGTAAGCCCACTTCCTGTGACAAAAAGACAATCAGTTGCCACAGTAGCAACTGCTACACAATTTGATCCATTCAATGCACATTTACCAGCAGATGATATCGAACAGGCTGTGGTTGTTGTTCCATATGCAGCACAAGTGGCCTTTTTTTCCTGACATGCATCCCCAGCTTTATTAGCTGTACATCCTGCATTATATGAAGCACATATTGTATCTGTAAGCCCACTTCCTGTGACAAATAGGCAATCAGTTGACGCAGTAGTAACTGTAACACAAGCTGTTCCATTCCATGCACACTTAGCAGCAGTTCCTAAAGCTGCTGAAGTAGTACAAGAATTCTGTGTTAAATAAAGGTTGCATGTTAACATTTTCTCTTAGCAAGCAGTTTTGTTAGCATTTGCAACACAAGAAACATCATAGTCATCACAATTTTCATCAGTTAATCCAGTTCCAACAATTGAAGCGCAATTAGAAAAACGAACACAATCAGAACCATCTAAATAACATTTACCTTAAGAAGATGTGGCACAAGTATTCAACGTTGTATAGTCTGAGCATTTTGTCTTTTACTCTTAACATCCAGTACCATCTACCAAAGATGTACATAAAGGATTATATCCTTGACACTTAGCCTGATCTAATCCAGTTAATCCTGAAACATGAACACATTCAGCAGCAGTAGTTATAGATAAGCAAGCTGAACCATTCCATCCGCATAATCCTGAACCAGCTCTAAAGCAATTAGCTTGTAACACATAACCAGCACAACTAGATTAAATAGCTAAACAACCAGAGCCATCTTTTTTGACTGAGCATATAGTATCAAGTGCTTGACAATCTTAGAAACTTAAATTTGATCCAGTTTTCAAAGTACAATCTAGTGTACAAGATGTTGATGATGTAGCTCCAAGAACATTTGTACATCCTGCTCTATAACCTTGACACATTTATTAAGTACCCTTAAAAGTAGTACAAGAACCGGTAGCAAAAGTAGATAAAGCATAACATTTATCTACAATCCACTTACAATCATCAGTAGCTGTTAAATTCAATATGGTTTTATGACATTAGGCTTATGTCATATAATCTGTACAATTTGTTGATTTTGGTACACATCCTGATGCTCCAACTTTGTAAACTACTGTACAGGTTTCACTTGGTGTTGGATAACCTAGGCATTCTGTATCAGAATCAAACAATGTTGTATCTGGAGCATCTGCACAAGTTGCACTTCTACATGCCAATCCAGTCCAAATACAATTCTTATTTGTTGATGTTTTTTTACAATTTTCTTAAGTTGTGTAAGCTGTGCAAGCAGTTGCTAATGCTTAACAAGCAGTCCCTCCATTATTCACTGTGCATTAATCAAATATACCAATGCAGTTATTGTGTGAAGTTTATATAATATTTGAACAGGTTTTATCAACACAATTAGAACCATTCCAATAACAATCCCCACTTGATTTTGATCCATCCTTACAATTTTATTAAACTAATCCTGAACAACTAGAAGGCTTAGTTATGCATCCATCAGAATTATTATTTGAAATACAAGGTTTTGAAGTTGCAGTACAAGAACCTGAGGCATTTGTTGCTGTGCATACTGACAAATAATTCTAGCAATTTGTGAAATTAACTATTGTTAAAACACCATTAGTTCCTACAGTGCTAGCAGTTGAACAAGATTTTTCTACGCAAGTTGTGGTTGATGAAACCCAAAGACATGTTGGGAATCCACTTCTTGAAATTTCACAATTTTCTATTGATTTTCTATTTCCGCAAGTAGTTGGTAAATCTTAGCATCCTTATATTGTCAAAGAACCATTAATAGTAACAGGATTATTCGCGACACAAGTCAATATGTGTCCTTAGCATTATGAAGTAGTAGTGAAGGTCTTAGAAGCTGTTGAACATGCTTTATCAATACATTAAGAGCCAGTCCATCCACATAGTGAACCATTAGCTTTAATTTAACAAGCAGCTTCAATTGTAATGGCTTCACATTTGAGTGGAAGTGGAACGCATCCTGAGCCAGTATTACTTAATGTACAACTTGAGTGATAAGTTTAACAATCAGTATGAGAGGTTGTAGCTGATGAAGCTAGTACACATTATTTCTTATAGCATTTTCCTTTCCAAATGCATGCTTTATTATTTTTATCCTTATCACAAATAGCAAGAACTAAAGAATTTTCACATGTCTTCTCAACACACCCAGCTCCTGCTGAATTAACTGTACAAGTATTTAAGAACTCTTGGCAGAGTTCATTAGTAGTTTTAGTCAATGGAGCATTTATACATATTTTATCTTTACAGCTTGAACTAGCAACATCCCACACACAAGGTTAACCACTAGAATTCTTTACACAAGCAACTTCCAATGTTATTGCAGCACATGTAGTATTTGTTACACAACCTCCTCCAGTCTTTGTTATACAGTTGTTGGCTGGATAGTATGCTTCGCAAGCATCGTTTGTTATTGTAGTTATAGGAGCATTTGAGCAACTCCTATTTTAGCATCCTCCTCCTGATTTAACTGTACAAGATGCTAAGTATGATGTACACAATTCATGTGTATTATTAGTTGTTGGTGAGTTGGCACAAGTCTTTTCTTTACAAGTTCCATCAAATATGCAATCAGTTCCAGAAGAGTTCTTAACACAAGCTGCTGGAAGATTGGCTACTGAACAAGCTCCATTGGCAACACATCCTCCACCTGATTTAGTGATACATCCTGTTACAAATCCAGCACAAGCTGAATTAGTTGTCATTGTGGTTGGTGCATTTGTACATGTCTTATCAACACATGCAGTTCCAGTCCAATAGCAATCACCGCCTGAACTATTTTTAATACAAGCAGCTTAGATAGTTGCAGCTGCACAAGTAGTTCTCGTAACACATCCTCCGTTAGGTTTTGTTGTGCATGTTGAATCAGTTCTAAAAGTTTTACAAGTTTCATCAGTTGTTAATGTTGTTGGTGCATTGTCACAAATTCTATCTTTGCAGGCTGCTCCATCCCAATAACATGCAGTTGTTCCTAATTTATTCCAAACGCATTAAATTTCTAATGTTTAATCACTACAATTATTTCCACTATCAATACATCCACCTCCGGTCTTTGTTGTACAATTTGGTAACTTATCTCTGCATTCTTTATCTGTAACAAATGTAATTGGTAATCTATCACAATTATTAGCATCTACACAAGTATTATTTGTTGTATCCCAATAGCACAAGCTTCCTGCAGCATTTTTGACACAAGGAAGTTGTTTCTTGTATGTGCTACAAGCATCAAGTTCAACACAATGAGTTCCATCTGTAATACATCTATTACTTATTGCTTAACATTCAGGATCTGTTGTTTTTGCAAAAGCTGTGCATCCTGTAAAGAATGTACATTTATTTTCAGTCCAAGCACATGCGGAATAAGCACCACAATCTGTACAAGGTTTAGCTTTTGGGCAATCAGTTTCAGCGAAAGCATCACAATATGCAATGTAGGTAGTAGTTGGAGCAACAGGGGTTGTTGAAACTGCACAAGATTTTTTTGTATTATCCCATGAACATCCAAGATTTATATTTTTGATGCAATCTCCTTCTGATAACAATTATGCACATGTGCATGATGTTATACTAAATGATTGACTTGTTGCTAAGGCAAGCAACAATGAAAATATGATGAATTATTTATTCATTAAAAGTATTATTATTTTATTGAAACTTAATCACAGTTTTAAATATAAAAAAAATTAATTTATTTTAAATTAATAGATACAATCTATTCTTGATTAATTGTAAGATCTGAATTTTATTTTGATCTCAATTTAGATAATTAATATTTATATTATATTTCTTTTGAGGCTGTGAGTGATAGAGAAAAAAAAAAGACAATATGTTGATTGGTAGCACACTAATATAGATTAATATTTTTTAAATTTGCTTAAAATACCATTTATTCTGTTTTTCTAGACTTAATCTGTTGAAAATCCAAGGGAAGAAATGAAAAAAAAAAAAAGCAAATTCTTTCAGCAAGAAATAGTTAATTGAAAAATTGGATACTGCTCTTGATATCGTTTTTCCTTTGTCTAGAAAACTCTAGATCAGTTTAATGGCAATTCAAAGAAAAATTCAAACTTAATAGTATAATTTTGCTGTCTTTAAACCTATACTAGAAAATATAGCAAAGCAAAGAGCAATTAGAATGAAATCAAGCTTATATTTACAACAATAGATAACATAGACGATAAAAAATTTTAAATTTGATTCAATGAAAAAAAAATCTCATACCTTGATCTATACTCTACTAAATTCATTTTCCCCCTAAATTAAGGTATTAAATGAAGTTTGAATTTTCCCACCTAATAATTTTCTTTTCTTCAACATATTTCTATTTAAAAGAACTCTACTTATCACTTCATTATTGTAATCATTTAAAATTATTTGCTTCTGTCACCTCTCCAAAAATATGAAAGATTTTTTTACATGTTAAAGTATTTACCGAGCATTAATTTATCTATTGTTAATGTTTTCTATATGGTTTATAATAACAAAACTGTGAAAGAAGTAGAAAATTTTTTTAATTCAATCTATTATCTATCCATTAGCCTTCGGATGATATTTGATTTAAACTATATTTTAAGGCTTGACAGCAATTAATTTTTGTCATTTTTTATCAGTCATTTTAAAAATATTTTTTTCACCCATATTTTCAAGGATTCAAATTTCATTCATTTTTAAAGAGCTATAATCCTATACAGAGCTTTAGACTATGATAAACTTCCTAAAGTAGTCTCTATTACGTAAATAATTTAACATCGTTCATACAAAATTAGAATTAACAAAAATGAAAGCATTAATTATAAGGCCGGTTAATCATAAAGTTTATACTACTAAATCAGAATAAAATATATAGTTGACTAGATAGAATAATAAATGATTTCCTAAATATATTATATAATAGGTTTCGATGTCATATCACAACTAACAATATTCATTGATCGAGTATGGTGAAGAAAGAACACAGATCAAGCTAATTAATTTACAGAAGTGGATTACTTAAATTTGATGGAGAATTTTAATTTAAATTAAGGGATTTTTTCATCAGAAATATATGAATTAAATGTAAAAATATATATATTTATAATTAAAAAATCTTTTTTTAATTTGATATGAAAATATCTATTATTATTATTATAAAGAAATATTTGTTATGATAAATTATTTAATCATGGTATTGATGAAATTAATAAATTTTGATGAATTAAATTTTATTTCTCTCAACATTTTTGTCACAATTCTATTATAGATCGAGAATGGCCAGTCTAAAGAGTATTATTTGAGGAAATCTCAATTTTTTTTTGTATTAAATTCTAAAGGGTGCTTTATTTTATCAAGCATCTATCCTTATACTTGTTATATATTTTCAATATATTGGCTAGTACCTTAAAGAATTTTCTTAAAAGTAAATCCTTTGGTTAATTTTATTCTCATGTTATTTGGTACAAAATATTTTATTTTAAATTCTATATACTATTATGATAAAATAATCAAAAAGTTAAATTAAAAAATGACAAGAAAGTAAAAATTACATTTAATAGTAATAGACTAAAGCATTTAAGCAGCTCCTATATCATAATTCTTTTCACTAAAGAAGAACTGAAGAAAAGTACCTATTCGATATTTAACTTAATAATTAGCTCAAAGCTGCTTTAATTTGTTAAAATTGACAAATAAATAGAGCATTGATAATTCTGGAGCATTTTCATCATATTTTTAGGTTTGAATCAATATTTAATCATAAGTAAATGAAGCCTACCAAACTATAAGAGATGCTTGGTTTCCACTTTATTATGACTCTATCCTTTTCCAAATGTTAGCACTAGTTTTAATGAAAAATGTTTAATTAATATCTCCAAATTTTAGATTTCACAGCAGTGTCCTTAAAATGTAAATTATTTTATAAAATATATTATAAAATTGGATTGTAATTTCTCTTTCAATCACTAAAAATTTTCATTTTTAATTATGGATATACTAAAAAGTTCTTAGTTTACCACAAATTTATGTTAATATCACTTAATCATATGTGTCCAGAATATTTATCATAAGGATAAAATTATTTTATTTGCACTTCATAATTTTGCATCTCTTTTGGATGCTATTATAATTAACTAATTAGATTGTACAATATTAACATTTTCAACTAAGTACTTAAATATGAATCTTAAAATCAAATTTAATATACAGAAAGATAACAGTAACAGTAATTGATACCAAAATATGCTACTTTTTATTATATATTTTTTCTTGAAAGTGATATATATCAATTAATTAAACATTATTATAAAGTTCTCGGTTTTTAAAATGGAAAAGATCAAAATTTAATGATAATCCATTCTAATTAACACTTTTTTATAATTATTTTATTTTTCCCCAATATATAAAATTATAAAATCATTTTGATCATAACATGAGATAAACAATAATGATTGTTGATAATCCAAGAATATGTATCTTGGATTGGTTGTTGTGTTAATAGTTGTGTCTATTGAAGTATTATTTGTAACATTTGATTAAACCACAACTGCAGTGCAAACTTCAAATTTGCTTGTAGATGCATTCAAGAATATATTTATTGAGAAATCAAGAAGCCATCATTTAAACATAAAGTTAATGTTCTGTGGAATTGCATGTTCCACTAACTTAAGTAAATAATTATTAATATTTTATCCCAATTCAAGAATCTAATGCAAACATAATTCCATATTTATTTACAAAAACAGTTGCTCCAGTTCCTAATGCTGAAGTCCATGAAAATATATCTCTAAAAACTTAACAAACAGCTTTATAGTTATAAGTACTGATGTATGCTGTCATTAAAGCATATGATTCAGTCCCAGCAAAAGCTTAAGTTGCAGTTGATTAAATACAGATAAAAATTCTATCCAATCCAACTGAAATACATGCTATTTTAGTTTTACTGGTTGAGTGGTAAGCTTTTAGAATACAAGCTATTCTATTTCATACATATGATGACAATGATCATTTTTAAATATTAGACCAGAGTAAGTAATTTAATTTTAGCATTCTTATTATTTGAAGCTTATGCAAGTACTAAAAGCTGGCTTAATCAAATAGAACGGTCAAATTTTAGTATAATGAACATGTTCCTTTATTAAACTAGTTTTTCCAACTGATTCAATTTTTGATAATTAGGAAGAATATTTTGCATTGGTTGTTCAATGATGTATATTTGACATTAGTTCCTTTAAATCTATTAATTTTAACATAATCCTTAATCCATAAACATGGTCAATTTTTTCATCAATTAAGGCATTTCTATTTTTTGTTTTTTTAACAAGCTTTGTAGGCTTAAAATTAGTTTCCCTAAAATCTTAGCAGTTTTTCCCTTATAAATTATCCATGGCACAAATAGTTTCATTAAGAACAGTTTTAAAAGCCTCTCTAGTAGTAACAGCTGAAAAAGTAGACTTAATTAAACATCCAACACCATTCTTTGTAGTAAAATTAGTGAAACAGCTTGAACAGGCAACTGTATTTAAAGTAACTGGGACTTAATTAAATTTATTACTAGTATAGAAGATAAGTTTCTACAAATACTCAATGTATCCATCTAAAGAAGTAAAGCAATTAGCCTAACTCAAAGTCTGGAAGCAAGTTTATGTTTGTGAAATAAAATATTACATTTTTGTTCAAGTGGTTTATGCTTGTTTGAATATGCCTTTTGCAAAATCTTACCAAACTTTTGTTTTATAGTAATCATAAAATTCATAATACGTTATAGTAGAAGTTGGAGCACTAGTATAAAACTTATCTTAGCAAGTAGATTCAGGTAATTGCTATTTTTATCCAAAATATTAATACTTACGTTTATTATACAATGTTTTTCAATCTTATTTAAACTAAAAGTCCCTCTAGTTATACAACCTTAAATAGCAACTCTCTTTTTAGAATTATTTGCTCAAATTAGTGTCAAATCAACACCAATATATTTATTATGAGTTTCAAAACAATCAATATAAGTGGGATTCCAGGAGCATTTTCTAGCGCTTGTATAAAAATTGAAAATGAAGCTAAAATTTGTAAGAAGCTCAAGTTTATCTAGGTTGGCAAGCTCTTAATCTAGCCATAATACATGATTATTAATTATTGTCTTAAGCAGTATCAGTTGTTGTGGTATAATAAGTCTTTCATACACAAGATATCCCTACTATAACACATTTTCCTTCAACTAAATAAAGACAAGAATTAGAATATTAATCTGAGATTTTAAATGAACTATTTCTATTATTAGTATGTTTTTTGAGACAAATATTGCAATTAGAATAATTAAGTGATTGTTGCATTATAAAATTTTCTAACTATATATCTAGTGGAATTTCTATTAAAAATATATCCAGTTTTTATTCCATAACAATTTACATTTTCGTTAGTTTTCTGTTCCAAAACATATAGTTTCATAATTCGCAGCAGTTGATTTAGGAACACAAGCAGTTTCATTATTTGTGCTTTTGCAAACAAATTGCAAGTGTAGAGTATATTCTAAACTTTGAGATTATTATTAGAAATAAGTTATCTTTTTTTTATTTATGTAATTAGCAAATAATAAATCTGAACTTATAAAATTTTGAGCAATAAAAATAATCTCTAAATAAATCTATTAAACTAATTTCAAATTTGTTTTATAGATTTATTTCTTTAATAGAATCCCTTTTCAATACAAGATTCTACATTTAAAATAACATCTTCTAGATTGATATCTGATGAGTTAGTACAATAATATCTAGATAAATAAAGATTATAAGTTTTCAATTTCTACTTTCAAATTGTTCTGTCATCATTTGCTAAATTATAAGCTGGAATAAATAGTAAATACTATCCAAGAAACATTTACATTAACCAGAGAGGGCAACAAATATTTGAGGCTGCATAACTTATTAAATTTTCCTATTATCTTAGCAACCATAGCCCTATTTTAAATTTAAACCATGTTAATGAGATTAAAAGTGTACTATATAGAGGGTTTTCAAAATAATTATTTCAAGATTACCCAATTAATTTTTTTATTTGAATTTATAATCATAGACTTTCAAGTACAGAGCATCTTGTTAAATTTACTTTGTTTTCCCCATAAATAACCTTTCTATTTAGCCAATAAATTTTTAATCTAATTTGAAAGCAATATATTTTTAGAATTACAATAGCATTGAATCCTTAGCAATCTTAATATTTCAAACCTGCTCTATTGTGTAAGATGTTGATGATGTAGCTCCAATACTTCCTGCTCTATAACCTTAAAAAATTTACTAATTACTCTTAAAAGTAGTACAAGAACTTGTAGCAAAAGTAGATAAAGCCTAATAATTATCCATAATTCATTTATAATCATCATTAGCTGCTAAATTTGATGTGGTTTTATGACATTAGGCTTATGTCATATAATCTGTACAATTTGTTTTTGCTTTTTTACAATTTTCTTTTAGTTTTGTAGGCAGTTCAGTTCCTTCATTATTCACTGTGCATTAATCAAATATACCATTGCAGTTATTGTGTGAAGTTTATATTATATTTGAACAGGTTCTATCAATACAACTAGTACCATTCCAAAAACAATCCCCACTTGTTTTTGATCCTCCTTAAAATTTTATTAAATTAATCCGAAACAACTAGAAAGCTTAGTTATGCATTCAACTTCGTTTCTGTTCGATATGCATCTTAGGAACATAAGTTTTATAAAATTTGAATTTAAATCTTCTTGCTGACAATGCACTACTTTTTCCCAGGGTACTAGCAATTACACTAGAGTTTTCAACACATAATGTAGAGGGTGCAACCCAAAGACACATTGGGAATTAATTCTTAAAACTCGAAAATCTTTAGATGATCCTCTAATTGTTAATGTAGATGATAAATCTTAAAACTCTTAAATTGTTAAAGTATCATTAACAGTCACATCTAATTGGTTCATGAATAATTTTTGAAAATATCTATTAAGAAATTGGCAGCAAAAAATCCTCAACAGTTGTTAATATTGTTGGTGAATTTTCACGAATTCTATTTTTACATGCATTTCCATCTCAATAATATGCAGTTGATCTTCGTTTATTCCAAAAACATTAAATTTCTAATGTTTAATCACTGCATTTATTTCCAATATAAAAAAATCCACTTTCATATGTTGTTGTACAAGTCATATCTTATCTATACATTCTTTGTCTGTAGCAAATGTGATTAGTAATCTATTACAAATATTACCTTACAATATGTAAAGAATTTACCTTTGCTGTCAATTCAAGCACTTGCAGCATAAATACCGTAAATTTATTATAAATTTAGCTCTTGAACAATCTGCTTCAGTTAGGGTATCACAATATGCTCCAAAATTGACTATTCAAGTTAACTGAGTAGACAAGACATTTGGTTTCATCTTATGAACACTCAAGTAAAGTCTATTATTACTAATTTGCTACTGATAGAAATTACGCAAAAGTCCTTGATGTTATACTACAAGTTTGACTTCTTTATATTACAAGCAACAATGCATAAATAATTATTTATTTATTTATTAAAAGTACTAATGATTAAAAGATAGAATTATATCAGGATATAATATATATATATTAACATAATAATCTTGTTAAATTAATCAAAAAGTTTAATTTATTTTCACTTAATTAATACATCTTATATTTTAATTAAAGATCAATTCATAATTAATATTTCTTTTAATCAGCATTTTTATTTTTTCTTTTTATTTTATTATATTTTCATACATAGTGTATTATTTTATAAGTGAAATATTACAATTATTTGATAAATCAATGAGGACATTTATTTAATAAAAAATTTCTTTACTATACTATAAAAACACAAAAAGAGTAAAAAATATTAATCAATTATGATCTTATCCACTATCTGGAAAAAATAGTTATAGTTGAAATTAAAGATATAAAAGTAAGAGAAAAAAATTAATTTATACACAAAAATCAAAAATGGAAAAAAACAGAGAAAAGCTCTTAAGTTATAATTTGTTTTCCATAATTAGTTAAATTGCCTCATTATATTAATAGTTATTTGCTCAAAAAGCCATTTTAGTAACATATCACTATTTCTCCTTGGTAGAATTTCTCTTTCCATTATAGGTATTTAATTAATAAATTAAACTTAATTATCCATTTCTCCTATTTCTTTTGTATATAAAATCTCTTTATTTCAAATTAGAAGAAGTGAAAAAAATTGATTGTCAGCTTTTGTAATTTAAAAAGTTTTTAATTAAAATAAATAAAGTAAGTAATTAAGAAAGATTATAAAATTGTAATAACTTTGTACTAATTCTTAGCATTAAATATTAAGAAATCTTTTATAATAAGGTTAGATATCAATATTATTAATATAAATTATAATAGTATCAACATGAAAATACAAAAAGATCAGTATATTTATATATATTTAATTGAATAATAATAATAAAATAAATCAATATAATTTCATATTTGATTCATTATCAATAGTATAAAAATAATAGTTGTAATTTATTTTGCACTGACTTACCAACCTTTGCATTTTACACAATTTTTACCATCCCAATGATAAAATAACTTAGAATTTTTATAACATGTTTCTTCATTTTCTTAAGATGGATCAAAATTTACACATTCTCCATCTTCTAATTTCTTACAAAGTAAATATTGATTTCCATTTATTTTTTATTTTCTTGGACTACATTTTGGACTAATTGAATTTTCACATTTATCATTTGTTATACAAGATATTATTGGTTACATAAAGCATGCAGGATAAGTCTTTTGACAAATTGCATCTAATTTTACATCTTCACATTTTGTCAATTCTTAACATTTTCCATCTTTAACATAGCAAAGACCTTCTCTAGCAACATAACATTTATCTGTAGATTGTTCAGCACAAGTTGGTCTAGATAAATCAGGTTTTGGATCATAAAAACTCAAACATCTTTTTAAATTTTAATCATATGTGCAATCACGATTAAATATATCACTACATTCTTCTTCAGTTTGCTCATTGCAACTTTTTGATTTATAACATTTGTTATTTTTAGCATAGCAACCTAGATATATACAAAGATCAATATCATTAATATTTTCACATCTACGAGTCACACATTTACCTTTTTCTATATTACAACGTCCCTTCATCCAATCACTTTCAGTTTCACATTCTTTTTCATTCAATTCTTCACAACCACAAACACCTTTATGAAATGTCACAAATTCTTAATTCAATACTATGGTAGTGAACATATAAAATATCATTATTGGTAGAGTAATAATCATTTTAAATAAACAATTATTATCTATTATATTAAATATGCTTAAGAACAATAAAAATCTATATTTTTCTATAATAATCAATTCTATGTTGTTCCCAAATTTTTTAATTATTAATTGAATATATCAATTATTAATTTAAATTATATGGGTCACAATCTATTTTATTACTATAATCATCTAACATTATTTTGTTCTTATTTCAAATTATATTTATCATAATAATTCAATAAAGTTTTTAAGGTTTACAACATTTTCTTAAGCGAATTCTAAAATTAATATTAATAAAATAGAGAATATTATTATGCTTTTTATCTGTTAAAAAGACATACACATTAATATAGATAAGGAAATAATAGATTACTTTATAAATTGGATATAATCTATATCTACTATAGATTTTGTAGAACAAGGAATATCTAGAGAAAAATGATAAAAGATTATCCATATTAGAATTTAAATTTCAATTATTTTGGAATTCTATATAATAAACAATTTATGATATTCCTTCATTTTTATAACTTATTTAGTTAAACAATTTAATTGCTAACTTATTTGACAATTTCTTTTCAAATAATTTTTAGTATATAACATAGTACTACATTGAATTATTTTATATTATTTATGAAAATATCAAATTCTTTTTTATGGTGATATATTTATAAGTAATTAATCAAATTTTATTCTATTAATAAATTTTTATTCTATTAGATTGATTATCAAGAAGATTAGATAAGAAATTTTAATTGATTTCAAAGAAATTAATAATAATAATAATAATGTAAAACTAACCAGACTCTCTTACCCCATTTATAAATAATAGTCGTGCTTATAATTTCACAAATAATTATGATTATGCTTATAAACAAAATAATCTTAAATTTATGTAATCATAAAATCAAGAATATGAAATTCAAAAATAAAAATAGAATAATGATGAAGAGTAAGTCTTAATTTAATATTATGTTTATCAAGACTTTTAAAATTTGATTAATCTATTATATTCTTATTAAGCAGTAAAAAATTACTTTATAGATTAACACTATCATTCTGCAATTATTTTAAGTAGAAATAAGATAATTCTACAATTAAATATTTCTAATTCAATTCATTATGATTTATAATAAACAAATAAAAATACATCAGGTTAAGATACTTTAGAAAAAGAAAAGAAAAATCTTAAAAATATTTTATACAATATGAAGAATGATTTAAATATGAAGGATTTAGATAATGAATGTTTAGGATATCTAAATATATACACTTAGAATTCTTTGGCAGAATATGTTAAAATTAAATAAATTCCATTAGAATAATCTAATATAAATTATAATTTTAATTAAAATGTGTTGGATAAGGTTTTGCCTCAAATTTCATTTTTGGATGAACAAATTAAATAATTGAAACAAAGAAAATAATATCATATCCCTTCTGAATCCTAGATTAAATAAAAAGCCAAGTAATTATTTAATTATATTACAAATTAGAGAATATGAAAAGATTACATATCATAATTTATTAATCAATTATCCAAGGAATAATTATAATCTCAGAAGTCCTAGTAAACAAGATTATATGAGTTCTTAATTTGAAATTGAAAAATCACCCAAAAAATAATCAAATATAAGTAAATCATAAATTTATAGTACTGATTTTCGATATTCGAAGAATAATGAATTTTAAAATTATATTTAATGATTTATTTTATTAACACTTTATATTTTTTTTTCAATTATCAATGAATATAATCTATAAAGCAAATAAATTATATAAAATTAAGGTGCTCATTCTGTTTAAAAATAGAGTTAATGTGGATAATGTTAATCTATATAAATAGCTGTATATATACATTTTTTAATCCTAATTTACTCTGTAAAATAATTTGATCTGATAATTCTAAATTTTAAAATCATGCCAATATAAAAAGATTTTAATAAAAATTTATATTTTATTTTTAATAAAAAAAAATAGACACAGAATCATAATTCAAAAATGCTATAATTTAAGAATTATGAGTCTTAAATTCAAGACAATCTCCAAAAAGAAAAGATCATTTTTGATACAATATAATTAAGAAATCATGAAGGAAATCAATATATTAAACCTGTAATATATAACTTGAAATTTAGGTGGTCACCAAAAAGTGTATTCATTCGAAAGGATGCTTTGAATTAGATGAAATTAAGAAATAACTTGAAACCAATTAATTATTTACTTGTGCAGAGTGTAGTTAAAATGCTTAATAATATTCGGATCTAATGTGGGATATTCGATATTATGCTAATTAAGAATTTCATGATTCAGTTGATGAAATTCATATCATCTAAGGATTTATGGTCAACAAATATTAGAGAAATAAAAAATATTTAGATTTACTCACAAAAGATGATGTAAAAGAACATTTTGTGACATTAATACAACAAAATTTTGAAACAAATTCATTTCTAAAATCTCTTATTGATAAGAAATAAAGTGGATAATAAGAATTATATGCAATTTGTCTTTTAGATTTTGTGAAAATTATAATTCCTGTAAGGATTTAAGGATGCTAACATTTAGAATGCTATGAATTCACAAGTTTATTATATTATTAATAAAATAAAAAGTAAAGTGAAAACTCCTTCAGATGTACTTATCCAGAATGTAATTAGAGATTAGATATTTCTAGTTTAAATTCATTTTTTTATGGAATTTTTATCGATTAATTACTCCTAAAAGAAATTAAATAAAAAAATCCAGTTACAATTATATTCAATATTAATAAATAAACTAAAACCTTTGAATAGAAAATATACTTTCCTTTAGATCAAAGTTTAAATTCATACTCTTAAAAATTCAATAAATAGATGACAAAATAATAAGAATTAGATATTAGCACTAATCTTGATAAAGTTATTTTATAAATAATTCAAACTAATTTATTACTTGAAAAACAAGATTTAAAGTCAAGCTTATTAGAAAGTACATCAGAATTATATATAATTGATTAATTTACTAAATTACCTGTTGAGTTACCAACAAGATGTATTAATTGCAAAGACTTAAATAAATCAATTGATTTATTAACTTATATATTTGACTTTCTTTATTAAAAGCTAATGAAAAATTAATAAAAATACTCATGTCCTTTGTGCAATTCACCTTAAAATGAAATTATGGTAAAAATAAAACTTAACCAATACATATATATTGACTAATTTTTATTATTAAAATTGATAAAAAGTAAAAATGATAAATATGAATAATAAAATTTGAATATACTTTCTCAAAATTTATAAAAATCGAATAATGTTGGTAATTAATTAATTAATAATCAAACTCTACATTCAACAGAAAATAGTTAATAAATTAGTTCAACAATTATTAATCAATCACTTAAGGATATGATTTATGATAGATTCTCATTATTGAATACAAACTAATCAAAAGCTAGATATCGAAATCCAGTAAGATTCATATATAAATTAGGCTTTAACCAAAAATTGCTTGCATAGAAGTGTTTGCTTCGAAAAGGAAGAAGCTCTGTAGTATATTTTATAAAACAAATTTTATGAATGCCCACATTGTCATTAAGAAGCAAAGAGTCTAGCTGATTTAGTTGAAGATTGGAGAGTTTAAGCATATAAAGAATTTAATATAATCGTTGAAGATGTAACAATAATCAAAGGAATTGTGGTGAATAAATACATAAGAAATAAAAAAAAATATTTGGATTTTTTCGTGATAGAAGAATATGCAAGATAATTTCAAGATATGTTCTAGAGATTTACTCATGATTTCTCAATTAATTCAATGATTTAAAAAGAATTAGTTTCATAGAAATCTAACAATTAAACTAAAATCAATTTTTGGTGCTTTTGTTTGTTGGATAAAGTTAAAATAAATATCCCTGTGAGAATATTGGGATGTAAACATTATGAATGTTATGAATTAACGAGTTTATTTTTCTTTTAAGAGTAAAATAGAAAATAATAAGAATTCTTAAATTGCAAACAACCTGGATGTTCAAATCGATTAAAAATTGCTCACATAGATTATACTAAGTAACCAGATACTCCAAAAACTTCTTAAAAAGAGGAATAAGAGAGATAAGATAAAATAAATGATATCATAACATTATTTTCAGGTATCTCTGTAGATTTGGATTTATTAAATGCAATAAAATTAAGTAATCCGAGCTCATACAAATTTTATTATAATTAAGACACTGGAAAAATTTAAGAAGACATAAATATAGAGAATGGCAAATATGTTGATCCAGTCATTAAAGCAGTATATGACTAGCATCCAGATTTCCATTTCAAAATTACTTTTGAAGAATTCTAAAAATTAATATAACAATAGGCAATGTCAGTAAGTCAAGGAGATCTCTTATAAGATGATAAACAATTAGGCAAGAAAATATCTCTATATAAATACAGAAATTATAAAGTAAAAATGCAAGACCAACTCACAAAACTTACAATTGAATATCCAGTACGATGTAAATTATGTACAGATCTATAGGTTTGTATGGATATGAGAAGTTATATTGCAGATTTTAATTATTAAAAAAAAGTAAATCCAACAAAAATTTATAGTTGTCCATTATGTAAAAAACCTTAAAATAAGCCGATGATTCAAACTTAAATTTAAAATTACATATATTTAGATACAAATATGCTTTCATATATGTTTAAAGACATGTCTTACACTAATGGAACAAATATTTTTGAATATTAAGGTGAATAATATTTACTTTAAGAATTTATGGATAGATAAAAAATCAAAAGAGAGGATTACATAAAAGAGTTAAATGAAAGATAGGTTGTATTTAAGCAATTGTTTTGCATAGTAAATAACTAATAGAGAATAAAATAACCTTTACTACTTTAAAACTGTCCTTAGAAAAATATTGTTGATTTTAAATCATTTTATGAGGAATTAAAAAAGATAGATTTTGATTATGAATAGCAAATACTAATATTATGTAAATGTTAAAAGTGTATTGAAAATTGTATTTTAAATCCGATTAAGTCTTTTGTAGGAAACATCTTTTTTCATGAACCCTTTTATGAAGCTCTGAATAAATTTTATAAGATACAAAACCCAGTAAATGATAAAGAGTTCACTTACAAATTTGCTGATAATGAGTAGGATAGTATGGTAGTTGTAGGATAAATAGTTTCTAGTAATCCTAAAATAAAAGTTGTTTAAAAATTAGAGACAGATTATAATCCTATAAATAAAGATGATATCTATAATGATTGGAAGTATTAACAACTTTTTTTAAGAAGAGATATTAGTGGTTTCTTTTTTAATTTGAAAATTATGCAAATATATATTGGTATTTTCTCAATTTATTTGGAAAAAGATAAAATTTATGTAGATCTATAAAGTGCAAAGAAATTTATCAATTCAAATATTAGGTTACAATTAAAATAGTACTCTTTTCAAATAACTGAAATTGTTTTACAATTAAAATCAGATAAAATTTTTGGATTCTTAAGTAGAAATTACACATTTACATCAGATGAATGAGAGTATTTGATTTAAATATCATTGAATATTAAAATATAATAATATATTTTAAAATATATTTGACATATTTCTTTAATTTTTCAAATCTTTTTAATACATTATAACTATTCATTATTTATTAATCTATTGTTTTTATTAAATCTTAATTCTGGAATTATTATTTATTTATATTTTGATTCAATAATTTTTACTTAATTAAATAATAGTCATATACAAAATTTAATTGATTATAAATCTGTATTATTTAAGATTCTGAATATTTTTAATGGTATATAAATATATCTTCTTATTAATTTTAACTGTTTCTAAATGAAAGTGAATAGTTTATATACACTTAAGCTTATTTATAGATGAGATATCAATTGCTTATAATGATTAAATATTGATCCTTTATTTTTGACTCAAATGAACTACACTATACCATTAAATTGTTGATAAATTATTTACTTAAATTGTATATAAAAAATGAAATTATAATTAAATTAAAATGAAGGCATTAATCTTTTTATAGGAAAAAGCAGAATAAGAAGGGACTGGATTTATTCCTTTTAAAGATGAAAGAGATGAATTAGGAAATCTTAAGGGTTTAACAAAAAGAAGTTGTTCAAGAATTAATAATAAAAAAAGTGAACATATTTTTGATAGAACAACTTCCAATACTTCCAAAACATCTTAAATGTAATAAATTATAAGGAATAATTAATAGAAATAAAAAAGTTAGATTTCTTAAAGAGATTTATTCAACTCATGGAAATTCTGATTGGTGCAGTTTAACGCATTTACGTAAACTAGATAAAAAGTTTTAATTAAATATTGAAACAGAGTTCTAAGTTTAAAAACCACTAACAGGATTGAATTAAAAGTTATAATTCAATGATGGAATTGTCAGAAAATTAACAACAAATATATGTAATTCACCAAGGCTTGGAAAAAAATAGAAAACTGAAAATTATACTCCTCCCTTAGGGTATTATCAACCATAAGAAATCTTTAAAAGACAACCTATGCTTGTTTTCATGGATCAATAAATTCAAAATTAAAATAGATTATCCCAACATAAATTCAGTAGAACTGAAGCATCAACTGCCTAACTTGGTATTAGACCAAGATTATCACCAAATAAAGACTCTCCTATTCCATAAGAGATATTAGAAAAAGCTTTTAAAACTGAGAGAATAATTACATAATAAAAATACAAATATGTTCCTTAAATGATTGATGAAAAAAATCTCGATAATATAACAGCTAGAATTAATTCCATAAGGTAAAAAATCTTGCATTAAAAAATGAACAGTTTATCTAATCAATGATTCTCATGCTTATTTTTTTATTAAAAAACTTAAATTTTGACTTTAATACTAAAACAACAAAAATAAATTAACAGTTTTTCTTCATTATAATGATTAATTATAATTATATAATAAAACAATGAACAAAATCAAATAAGATAAAATTTAATGATTATTGATATGATTATTAAAAATAAAAAATAAAATAAATGAGAAAGATGTTTATATTTGAATTTATATTGGCAGCTCATGTTGTATTTTGTATTTTGATAGAAATGTAATCAATAATATTTCCAATTCAATAAAAATTAGTGGATTTAGATAATGTTGGACCTGTAAAAAAGTATAATAATTATATTAAATATTATATAGAAATACTCATGCTAATCATAATTCATATTTTGATTTATTTGGATTCTTTGGACTTTGTATTTGGTTATTATTGAAATATTTTTTTGAAGGATTTCGATTTAATTCAATTCTTATAATGGCAGCATATACATTCTTCTTTTTTGATAGAGTAATATATATATATATTAATTATAATAGGCATTATAATTTGCAGATAAAATATTATGTTAAGTAGCTGCTGTATTAACTATTTTATATATTTGGACATTAATTAGTTATCCTGTTTATGAATTTCCTAAATCTACAGGTAAATATAGAACATGTTATAAATCAATTAAATTAAATGATAGTTATTAAACTGATACATCTGTATATTATCCATGTTAAGATAATAAATAAGAAGATATTAAATATAAATGGTTACCTAATAATAAATTTAGTAAATTAATATATGAATTATCTATTTTATCAACTAAATGGGCACCATCTGAATGGATATTTGATATTGGATTATCTTTTTTAAAGTATTTAATTATTATTATTATTAAATTTAAGTTTTATTAATTTTACAGCTAGTATTGAATAACCATTAATAAATAAAGAATTAGATGTAATTATATTTAGTCATGGATTTTCATAACATAGAAATGCATATACAACATTATGTTAATAATTAGCTAGTGAAGGTTATGTTGTGTTTTCATTATAACATTATGAATTAGTTTATCCATGGGATATTAAAGGTACTAAAATATATAATACTGGTAATTATCCAGAAATTATTGAAAAATATTAAAAAATAAGATCATCACATTTAGAATGGAGAATTGAATAAATTTAATAATTAATTGATAATTTAAAATCAAATAAAATTAAAGATGTATTTTATGATTTTAAACCATTATCAATTAATTTAATTGGTCATTCATTTGGTGGTGCATCTGTTCTTAGAGTTGCTTAAGAAATTAATGTAAATAGTGTTATTGCATATGATCCATGGTTATTTCCATTTAATTAAGAATAAATGCATAAATAAGTTAAATGTAGAACCTTGATATTAAGTAAAGATAAAAATAGAATTAAATAAGAATGGTTTGATCCTAAATTACTTAAAGAATTTTTAGATTTTAATACTTAAATTGAACATTATAAAATTAAAGGTTTAGATCATGCTTATCCTGTTGATTTAACTTATTTAATTGCAGCTGAAATGGTATTAATTGGTGAATTAAGAACTGATGAAAATCTATTCAAAATTAATAATTTAATTAGTTCATTAACTATTAAATTTATGTAGTAAAAACTATTCAGTATTGAAGAAAATAAATAATTTTCTTGAAAATATTATTATTAATCAATCTAATATAAATATCAATCATTAATAATTTTATTATAAACTATATAATATTTTCTTATTATTTTTAGATTAGTATTTCATTCATTATTCTAACATATATATAATAAAAGTTAAATTAATCCCATTTTCTTTGTGAGGATTTTCATATAAGCTCTGACTCTTGAAAAATTACATTTAAAATATCCACAGTTATATAAAGGAATTTCTATTTAATAGATCATAGGAAATACATTAAAGTGAATATTAATGCTTCTCAATCATTAATTGAATTTGCTACCTTAAATGATATCATGTAAGAATTTTAGTTATCATTTAAATTTTATTTTTATTTTTATAATGTCATAATTGATTATTTCAAGACTATGAATATAAGCATTGATATGTTACTAAAATTAAATTGATTATAATGATTAATTTTGTAATGAATAAAATATATTATTAATGATTATTTTCTCTTTAAACAAATTATTATAAATACTATTTTTTAATTTCAATACATTTATTCTTAATTAATTAATAAAAAGATCTTAGATTATTTAGTTTTAATTATCAAAAAATTAATTATAAATCTAATAATAAAAATTTAGATATAATTAGATTTAATAAAATCTTTAATTCAACTTACAAATTTTTTTAGAATTTAAACTAATAAATTTTTGAATCTGATTCATTTAATCATAGAAAAATAGATTTTAAATAATATAATTTTTCTAATTTAAAATCTATCAATTAAACAAATATATTTAATTAATACTCAAAAATATTTAACTTTAAAAAATATAATTTACCATTAAAGAGGATAATTAGTTATCTCAATAGCAATTTTTAAATATAGAAGAGGATTTTCTAATGGTTTAATTCTTATGTTAAGAAACTCAATAGACTATGACTTTAGAAATATTCAGAAATTTATAGATATGATAAATTAGAATTATATTTTGTTAATGAACTTTTTAATTTTACTTTGATATGATAAAATATTCATATCCTCCTTAATATTTATCTATAAATTTGAATTTTAAGTGGACTAGGATTTATTATTATTATTTAGATAATAAATCAGAATGCTTTATTCTTCTCAAATAAGAGATTTATTAATTAGGGAAAAAGTATCTGTATTTTTAAAATTCTTAGTCTAAACCAATAAATAAGTTGAATGAATTCTATTAGAATGATTCATAAGGCATATGTAGAAGAGATATTCTCGTTTAATGGATTGTGGCCGTATCTATATTCACATATAAATAGTAAGCTTCTCAATTTAGACATTCTCTAAAAACTATAGAACTGACAGTCATATATATTGATACTTATCTTAATTATTTTAAGATAACTTAAGAATATCTATAATTACTAGGAATTTCGGCCTATTCTTTAGCAACTAAAGTAAATATGAAAATAAATTGTAGTATAATGAAACAGAAGCCATGGCTTAGATTAAATTATATGATTCTAATGGCTAGAATCTATATTAGAATGTAGAGTATGATGAAATGGAAGAGTAGATAATAAAAGTTATGGGGTTTTAGTTAAACTACATTACATCATCAGATTATTTATTGGCAATGAATATTGAAATCAATGAAAATGTTTAGAGTTTATTAATGTTCATTCTTCTAGGTATTTCTTTCAATTATTCTAGATTTCGATATTTACCAATATTCTCACATAGAACTTGCATTGGCTATTATTGCATATCTTCAAGACGAATAAATCTAATTTACAGATAAAATTCTTAAGTTATCCCAATTCATACATAATAAAATACTCAGGGCTTAAGAAGTAGAAATAGGTAAATAGTAAAATGAAGATTCTAAAAGTAAAATTAGAAATTAACAAATAAACAAAAAGATTACTAAAAACAAAGGTTTGACTCACTAAAGAGCTCTAAAACAAAAGATTTGAAGTTCTATGTTATAAGTTTCGTTTCAATATAACTCTAAAAAAATCAAAAAAAAAATGTTTTTTTGTATTATTTAAACATTCTAAACCTTCTCTTTGGAAAAATCTAAAATTAACTGAACAATTTTCATCAGTATTATATTAATTCTTTATAAGGAAGTTTTATAAAGGGGTATTTCATTCTATTACCTTTTGTTTTTAATGAAATATACTAATTTTAAAAGAAATTTAATTGATGTTTTATTGAAAAGCTAAATGTATTGCTATAAAGAAATAGAAGTATTTTAAAGAAAAAAGTTTATTTTGAAGGACTAATCTAATTAATATTACCAAAATACACTAACTAACTTAAAAAGCATATACTTAATATATAACCAAACATATATTTATATATATATATAAATTATAGTATTATGAAAATGGCTCAAAAAAATAAAAAAAACTTTCGATGTTTAATATGGCTGACACAAAATCAAAGAATTTAAATAACAATAATTAAGTATCAGTTCTTCTCACTCGAATTATTAGAGTGAAATGAAGTATTGTTGATTTTTTCATAAAGACTAGCTTCTAATCTGCTGAATTCTTTTTTTGTATCTCCTAACATATTCTCTAAAGTGTGTAACTAACTAATTAGGAACAACATTTTTTAATCAATTTTAGCATCCTAAACCATTTAATTTTCAGTTTCGTTTTTCCCTTCATTTACATTAGCTCTAAATATTTATTATTAAAATAATACCCTAATTGAGTAATTCCTATTTAACCAAGATGATTAAATTTTTGTAAAAATGTATTCATAACCATTTAATTTTATTCAACTTCTTCTTCTTTGACTTTTGCACTCTTTGCCATTTATCTTTTAGTTTTTTTTTTACTTTCTTATAATTATTACTATTATTATTATTGTTATTATTGTTATTATTATTACTATTATTATTATTACTACTATTAGATTTTATTATCATCAGAAGCAAGTATCATTTGCCATTTAGCTTATTATTTAGGATCACCCATTTCAACATAAAATTTTTTCATTACTTCATTTAATTGTTGATTGAAAAATGCCAATAATTTTTCTTAAAATTCATTCATTTTATCAGAATCACCATTTTAAGATTGAGCATCCATTTTTTATTAAGAAAAATTAGCTAATTATTATTCAAGATTTTATTAAAAATCTAATTCTTTTTCTTCAGATGAATTTTTATAATCTTCTTTTTTAAGTATCATCTTTCTAAGATTCTCTACTTTATCTGATAATTTTTTATCTTTCTTTTTTTGATTATACCTTTTTTTATATTTTTTATATATTGTTGAATAATCTTTCATACATGATGTTCTTTTTATTGGCCCTCCTTATTATTTAAGTAATCTATAAAGTAGATTCTATTCTTAATATGTTTCTGCTTGCATTTTCTTTCTTGATTTACTATCATCATCATCTTCAGATTTCATTTCAGATTCTTCTACTTTTTCATCTTACATTGATTTATCTGATTCTGGTTCTTCTTATTCCACTTACATTTACATTTGTTATTCATATTTTTATAGATGCTCTTTTACAAAGGTCTATAAAGCAGAAGTGCCATTTTCTCCTTGTGCCTCAAGCATCTAAAATTAATAAAATGGATTTACTTTAAGTGATATCCCATTTTTTTCTTAATCAGCCAATAATTTTCTCACAGTGGAATAAAACCTATTCTTAACCGAATTTTCAGTTCTACCTAATAAGTTCTTAGCAATTTTTGACCAAGATGATGAGTACTATAGATATCCTTTAAATATTTCATGATCCTCCTCTACGAATAGTGATTAGATAAAAACCAGATGTCCAGCCTCCTTTTTTAACATTTGGATTGAGATTATTGAACCATCGTTCTCTACACTGTTTTCCTGACCTTCCTGCAATATTTTCAGCACACAAAGACCATTTACAAGGCCCATTATTCTTGACCCATTCTAATAGCTTCTCATCCTCATCATCTTACCAAGGTCCTAAACTATAAACACAGTAAATATACCTTTCTTCAGTCCTGGTTTAAGTATTTTAGTCCATCTGTGCAAACACTGTATGGCACTTCGACCTTCCATCATATCACTTATGATTCGCCAACTCTTTTCTCCATATTCTACAAATAAAATTCAATAGAAAACCTTCAATCAATTTTTAAAGCTTCTCATCCTCTTCAGGTGTCCACCTGCCAACCTTTTTTTTATCATTTTCATAATCTGCTATTGGAGATTGCTGATTTTATTTGCGTTTATCGTTTTTTCTTTTCGATTTGCTTTCGTACATATCTACCTCATATTTTATTATTTAACCTCTAGACATCTATAGTTTTTTTTGTTTAGTTTTCGTTTTTATTTAATTTATCCGTTTTTACATAATTCTAAAACGATTAGAGGCACTTCCAATTATACGTCATATCATTGTTCTTATTTTATATATAAATAAGTAGATAATCAATTGATAGAAGAGGTTATTTATCAAATACTTTTTTTTGTTTACTTGATATTTAGTTACTTTAATTATTAATAATCTCACTAAATTGTACAAAAATCATTAAGATCTTTAACGATCATTAAAATATTCTTACAACATTTTATTCACAATGTAAAACTTAAAATAAAATCATAATTTAGAAATCTCACTAATGTATTTTATAAAGATTTAAATCTCTATTCATTTATAATATATAATAATATATATGTTAAATTATATCTCTTGATTATATTAAATAATTCTAAATATATACATTGTTTCATTAAATAAAAAAAAGAATTTCTTTTTATCCTTTTGAATTTAATTTTATAATAATGTATACATAAATATATTATTTGAAATTTATGTAAATGAAAATGAATATAAGTACTCAATTTAGATGATATTTATGAAGACATATAGATACTCTCATTAAATAAACAATAGAGTATTATAATATTGAATGCTACATAATTCTAATTAAGAATCTCTTAATCTAAAAAATATCAATATTGAAATATAAACAGATATAAATAATTGATATAGCACAAAAAGAGTTATACAAATTTATATATGATCTCATTTGATAATAGAACTATTGTTAGAGTTTTGAGAATTACTATTTTATTATTTTTAAATCTCATTGGATTTATAGATTAAATGAAGTTTAGAGTGTGTTAATGTTTTGATCCAACATTAATTGAAGACGTTGAGTTTGAATTATAACTTAAAATTAATTAAATAATGGGCAATTGTAACATTACTGACAAGAAAGACTTTTCAGATTCATCAAGTACTTAGATAGATATATCCTAGTTCTTTCTGTCCATAATTTTGAGTTTATTGAGGTTTTAGGAAAAGGTGGATTTGGGAAAGTGTGGAAGGTGAAAAAAAGAAAAAATAAAAGTTATTTTGCATTGAAAATGATGTCAAAAGCAAAGTATATTAAAGTTTTGAAGTTTAGAATTATTTCAAAGAAAAGTGTAACTTCAGTTATGAATGAAAGAACACTTTTATGTTAATTGAGACATCCATCATTAATAAATATGGTTGCCGCATTTTAAGATAGAGAGAATTTATACTTAGTTATGGATTTATTAAGTGGAGGAGATCTCAGATATCATATTGGTAAAAATAGAAAATTTTCAGAAGAAGAAACAAGTAACATCAGTTTTTTTTAATTTAGAATTTTTTTGTGCCTGCATCATAATTGCCTTAGAATATTTACATTCATAAGGAATAATTCATAGAGATTTAAAGCCAGAAAATTTAGTATTTGATTCTGAAGGATATTTACGATTAACTGATTTGGGTATAGCTAGAATTTGGAGACCAGATAATTCAGCTGATACTAGTGGAACTCCAGGATATATGGCTCCAGAAGTATTGTGCAGATAAAACCATGGAATAGCTGTAGATTATTTTGCATTAGGAGTGATTGTCTATGAATGTATGTTGGGAAGAAGACCTTATGTTGGAAGATCTAGACAAGAGATTAGAGATAATGTATTAGCAAAGTAAGTTTAAATTAAAAAAAATGAAGTACCTACTACATGGTCATTAGAAGCAGCTGATTTTGCTAATTAGGTAAATTTAAAATGATTAATTCAGTTAATCCAAAGAAAACCTGCTTAGAGATTAGGCTCTGATAATCCAGAAGCTGTTAAGAATCATTCATGGTTCAATGGATTTTAATGGAACAAATTACTTAATAAAGAATTATAGCCTCCATATTTACCACGTAATTATAGTAATTCTGGTGGATCAACATAGGATACTGAGTAGGATACAAAAGAAAATGATCTTATGCTTAGGCGTAATTCTATTTAGGGTATATTTTACAAATCTATATAGCTTAATTTGAGGGATATAGTCATGATTCAAATGAACCTATAACAGCTGAACCATCAAAATTCTGATTTAATATATTATTAACTTATATTTATACCAATCATTTTCATTTATAATTTTACTTCAATCTTGTTTTGTTTAATAAGATCATAATTTTTTCTTAAATTAATTTAAGTCAAATACATAAATAATACTAATAACGAATTCAATTTTTTATAAAATAATTAAACTATTATTTTCGGTTATCATATTGGGAGTTAAAATGTCTTTTGAAAAAATAAATTTATAGCATATTTTTAGATTTAAACGCAAAGAATTTAGTATTTATATATCAATTTTTCAGGTAGCTTTTCTAACTTATTTGTTCCTCTTTTTTAATAGAAATATTGTCAGATTAGTATTTGATAGTTCATTTATTTTCATTAATTGTGATAGTTAAAGTTAATTTTTAGTTATTAAAAACAAACTAATATAAAATAAAAGAATAAATTAAATTAAATTAAATTAAATAATATCTTATGTCCTCTTAATATTATAATTTATTATTCAATTTCATATTTCATTAAATATCCTAATATTTTTATTTCATAAACATTGTTAATTTTGAATAGATCTTCAAATATTCATTTATTTTGATAAATCTCATAAATAAAAATAGAAATCTATGTTTTTTTATTAGAAATTAGTATTTTTAGTATAAATTGGAAGTAAAACTAAAATGTTTAAACATAATTTCTTAATAAAGAATTCATTTAATTTGAATTAAGTGAATACTAAATCGAAGATGATAATTTCATAGTAATCATGAATTATTTAATTTTTTAAATTCTTTATTATGAATATATATATATGATGATAGAAACAGATGTATAATATATGAATATTATATTGGTATACAAATGATTTTATATAGATAATAATTCTATAAATAATAATTTAAGATGAATTATTTTTCATAGAGTAAAACTTTTGATCTAATTATCTTAACCTTCAAATCCTATGATATAATTTGGTTGATTCACACTAATCTAGAAATATTCTTCTGTTTCAATAATATTAGTAACTTCTGAGATGAATAACAAACCAGTATCACTAACATAATATAAACAACAATTACATAATAAATTCTCTTAATGCTTATGGGATAGATGTTAATTAAACTCTATATAGTTTTTATTTATTTGAGGAATCTATGCTTGTATTTGATAAGGAATCATCAGAGATATTTGAAACCTAAATATTTTTTAGTAATAATGGAACATAAACATCATTTTAAGCTGGAATGAATATACTCTACTTTCCAATTGAAATAGTAGATAAATCAAATTAAAATTAGGGATCAGATAATTTAAGTTTTTATTGTACTTCAATAATATTTTCAGATTTCTATTTTTGATTTAAATAGTCAATTTATCCTTATAATGATTGAATTTATATTGTCAAATCTAAATTCTCTTAAGTTAAACAATTAATTTTATCCTCATATTATAATTGTATTTCTTTAAAATCATCCTATGCTTTCAATAATTATAATTAATCATGATTTTTCAATAAAATTATTTCATTATTTTTTTATTGTAGGGCTAAATCTAAATTATCAATTTTATTTTAAAGTGTTTTTTGATCTTCTTCTAATTATAAGTCTTTTTAGGCTTATTCAATTTAATCTTAATTTAAATTTTCCAATTATGAATTCTTTTCTAGATAATCTTCTAATAATTCATTATAAACTTATATCTGTTTTTCCAATTCGACTTATTTATTATCCCTTTCTAATTCGAGCATCTTAAGTTTCTATTTTAATTTCTCATTTTCATTTTAAAGTACTTCTAATTAAGCATAATAATCCTATACTTATTGTAGATATTGTTTATTTAACAAATCTAATTCATTAATTTAATCATTTTGAGTTTCACATTATTATTAAATTGATTATTTATGTTTAAGTAAATCTGATTATATTTATTTAGATTAATTTAATTGATCATTAAGTTATTTTTATAATTATTATAATTTAGATATTTCACTATTTTTTTAAATTAAATTAATTTCTAAATTCTCACATTTACTTACAAATTTATTTAAATCATCCTTTAATTTAATAGTATTATTTTATAAAGATTCTATTTTTTATTATAATTCTGTAATTATATTATTTTTATTATCAATTTCAACTAATTTAGATTCAAAATCTTATTCTTATTTCTATAATTTAATTTTTAGTTTTTCATATTCTTATTTTTAATTATTTAATTATTCACTAAATTCATTTTTTAAATTCATAAGTTTTGAATCATTTTCTCTTTAAGATTTATCAGTATTGGTATCTATTGATGATAATGGTTTATTTTCAGCTCTTTATATAAACATTTTCATTGAATTCTTTGCAGTTAATTATAATAATTCAATATAAGTTGTAGATTTCTTAGTAGTTTTCTCTTAATAAAATAGATGAGTTTATTTGCATTATTAATTTAAATCTTCTATTTATTATTTCAATTAATCAAAATCATTATCTTAACGTTTCTTAAATGTATCAGTATGTAAACCAGTTATATTTGGTAATTCAGCATCTGCAAATGCATTAATAATTTAAATTGATGGAGTTAAATTTTTTAATTATCCAATAAAATCCTATGGCAATATTCTACCATATTATTATAAAAACTTTTTCCTCTTATCTTTCTCTTAATCAATTAATGACATCAATGATTTAATTTTCTTATCAAAAATATCTCTAAATTCTTTCCTTCTACTTGTTTCTATTAATGCTTATTAGTAAGCTTATGGCAATAAAACAGGATTCAAAAGATATGAAAAATCTTTCTCCATTTTTTCTACCTCCTCATCATATTATCTAATTTTTTCATTATGTTATTCAAATTCTTTGTCTAAAGCTCTCAAATTTTAGAATACCTTCAAAATTTTAGACATATTCTATTATTTTAATTAAGTGAATTACATAAATACTTATTTTGCTAATTATTATTTAAATATTAAATACTTTTTTCTAAATGATCACCTATATGAGTAACTGCATCCTCAAATTATTTAATTTACTCTTAAGATAATTCAAATTAAGATAAATAATACATAGCTGGTTCATCATTAATATCTTATGAAAAATCAATCATATATTATCTTAATGTATTGTATTCTAATCATTATTTATACTTTTACCATCAATTGTGGATTAAACAACAGATTATAATAGTGATTTATTTTCTTATATGAATTATTAATATTATTATTAATTTGCTTTGTAACTTGATAAACATTATGTCATATTTTCTGTTTTTTCATTCTTTATCTTTTATTTTGATTTTGATATAGCTTAACTTAATTTATCAATTTTTTATTTTAAATTTTATTATGTATTCAAACAACTATTTTTCCATTTAAGCATAGATTCTGGTTTATAATAAATATCACTTAAATATTTTTATGAATTTGTTTGCAATGCAGCATGTAATTCTATTTTCTTTAATTACTCTAAACTATCATCAAATTTTTTAACTGTTAATAGATTTCTTTCTAATGATTCTTTTTATTTTTTTGTCAACTCCTCTTTCTTAGCTTTTGAATTTTTATATGTTGTTCTACTCATTTTTAATACAATATCAAATGATTAAATTTAATTTTCCAAATCTTATCCAATCTTTTCCAATTATTTAACCTTTTATTAATAAGGTATATATTTATTCTTTAAATTTTGTAAATGCTAAAAGAATATTTTCTCATGATTAATTATATTTGAGTTCAAATTAATAAGAGTTTCTTTTGCTTATTCTGACAGTAACAATTATTTTAAATCCATTTTAGGTTCATATTTAGGAAATGGGTAGACAACTTATTCTGGATTTTCACTTAGATCAAATAAATATATAGTCTATCCCAATATTAATTTTGTATATTACATAAAATTTTTATTCATCTGGAAATTATTACACTGTTTATTGCAATTATTAATCAACATCAAATTAATTTAAATCTTCCAATTTTACTCCTTTCTTTGTTAAAAGTAATTAATTCTTCACTTCAACTTTTGTTTCATTTTAAATTTATTCTTACAGATATTATAATCTAAAATTCTTATGCTATAAATACCGTTTATTCTCTGCTTGAAGAGTCAAGAGGAATTGATGACCATCTATACCAATTTTTATAATGAAGTCCATTTTTCTATTTTTTTTTGAATTTGAATTAATTAATTAAAAAGGTTGTTATATTAATATTATAATCTTAAGATTCTATATAATTAATCATACCATTTCTAAGAAATATTGTAAAGAACAATAAAATTATTTGTTTAAGCTAATCTATGATTAATTAAAAAGTGGAATATTTTTTATCATTATTTTTGAATAAAATTATATTTAANTAATGATTAAATATTGATCCTTTATTTTTGACTCAAATGAACTACACTATACCATTAAATTGTTGATAAATTATTTACTTAAATTGTATATAAAAAATGAAATTATAATTAAATTAAAATGAAGGCATTAATCTTTTTATAGGAAAAAGCAGAATAAGAAGGGACTGGATTTATTCCTTTTAAAGATGAAAGAGATGAATTAGGAAATCTTAAGGGTTTAACAAAAAGAAGTTGTTCAAGAATTAATAATAAAAAAAGTGAACATATTTTTGATAGAACAACTTCCAATACTTCCAAAACATCTTAAATGTAATAAATTATAAGGAATAATTAATAGAAATAAAAAAGTTAGATTTCTTAAAGAGATTTATTCAACTCATGGAAATTCTGATTGGTGCAGTTTAACGCATTTACGTAAACTAGATAAAAAGTTTTAATTAAATATTGAAACAGAGTTCTAAGTTTAAAAACCACTAACAGGATTGAATTAAAAGTTATAATTCAATGATGGAATTGTCAGAAAATTAACAACAAATATATGTAATTCACCAAGGCTTGGAAAAAAATAGAAAACTGAAAATTATACTCCTCCCTTAGGGTATTATCAACCATAAGAAATCTTTAAAAGACAACCTATGCTTGTTTTCATGGATCAATAAATTCAAAATTAAAATAGATTATCCCAACATAAATTCAGTAGAACTGAAGCATCAACTGCCTAACTTGGTATTAGACCAAGATTATCACCAAATAAAGACTCTCCTATTCCATAAGAGATATTAGAAAAAGCTTTTAAAACTGAGAGAATAATTACATAATAAAAATACAAATATGTTCCTTAAATGATTGATGAAAAAAATCTCGATAATATAACAGCTAGAATTAATTCCATAAGGTAAAAAATCTTGCATTAAAAAATGAACAGTTTATCTAATCAATGATTCTCATGCTTATTTTTTTATTAAAAAACTTAAATTTTGACTTTAATACTAAAACAACAAAAATAAATTAACAGTTTTTCTTCATTATAATGATTAATTATAATTATATAATAAAACAATGAACAAAATCAAATAAGATAAAATTTAATGATTATTGATATGATTATTAAAAATAAAAAATAAAATAAATGAGAAAGATGTTTATATTTGAATTTATATTGGCAGCTCATGTTGTATTTTGTATTTTGATAGAAATGTAATCAATAATATTTCCAATTCAATAAAAATTAGTGGATTTAGATAATGTTGGACCTGTAAAAAAGTATAATAATTATATTAAATATTATATAGAAATACTCATGCTAATCATAATTCATATTTTGATTTATTTGGATTCTTTGGACTTTGTATTTGGTTATTATTGAAATATTTTTTTGAAGGATTTCGATTTAATTCAATTCTTATAATGGCAGCATATACATTCTTCTTTTTTGATAGAGTAATATATATATATATTAATTATAATAGGCATTATAATTTGCAGATAAAATATTATGTTAAGTAGCTGCTGTATTAACTATTTTATATATTTGGACATTAATTAGTTATCCTGTTTATGAATTTCCTAAATCTACAGGTAAATATAGAACATGTTATAAATCAATTAAATTAAATGATAGTTATTAAACTGATACATCTGTATATTATCCATGTTAAGATAATAAATAAGAAGATATTAAATATAAATGGTTACCTAATAATAAATTTAGTAAATTAATATATGAATTATCTATTTTATCAACTAAATGGGCACCATCTGAATGGATATTTGATATTGGATTATCTTTTTTAAAGTATTTAATTATTATTATTATTAAATTTAAGTTTTATTAATTTTACAGCTAGTATTGAATAACCATTAATAAATAAAGAATTAGATGTAATTATATTTAGTCATGGATTTTCATAACATAGAAATGCATATACAACATTATGTTAATAATTAGCTAGTGAAGGTTATGTTGTGTTTTCATTATAACATTATGAATTAGTTTATCCATGGGATATTAAAGGTACTAAAATATATAATACTGGTAATTATCCAGAAATTATTGAAAAATATTAAAAAATAAGATCATCACATTTAGAATGGAGAATTGAATAAATTTAATAATTAATTGATAATTTAAAATCAAATAAAATTAAAGATGTATTTTATGATTTTAAACCATTATCAATTAATTTAATTGGTCATTCATTTGGTGGTGCATCTGTTCTTAGAGTTGCTTAAGAAATTAATGTAAATAGTGTTATTGCATATGATCCATGGTTATTTCCATTTAATTAAGAATAAATGCATAAATAAGTTAAATGTAGAACCTTGATATTAAGTAAAGATAAAAATAGAATTAAATAAGAATGGTTTGATCCTAAATTACTTAAAGAATTTTTAGATTTTAATACTTAAATTGAACATTATAAAATTAAAGGTTTAGATCATGCTTATCCTGTTGATTTAACTTATTTAATTGCAGCTGAAATGGTATTAATTGGTGAATTAAGAACTGATGAAAATCTATTCAAAATTAATAATTTAATTAGTTCATTAACTATTAAATTTATGTAGTAAAAACTATTCAGTATTGAAGAAAATAAATAATTTTCTTGAAAATATTATTATTAATCAATCTAATATAAATATCAATCATTAATAATTTTATTATAAACTATATAATATTTTCTTANTGTTATAAATCAATTAAATTAAATGATAGTTATTAAACTGATACATCTGTATATTATCCATGTTAAGATAATAAATAAGAAGATATTAAATATAAATGGTTACCTAATAATAAATTTAGTAAATTAATATATGAATTATCTATTTTATCAACTAAATGGGCACCATCTGAATGGATATTTGATATTGGATTATCTTTTTTAAAGTATTTAATTATTATTATTATTAAATTTAAGTTTTATTAATTTTACAGCTAGTATTGAATAACCATTAATAAATAAAGAATTAGATGTAATTATATTTAGTCATGGATTTTCATAACATAGAAATGCATATACAACATTATGTTAATAATTAGCTAGTGAAGGTTATGTTGTGTTTTCATTATAACATTATGAATTAGTTTATCCATGGGATATTAAAGGTACTAAAATATATAATACTGGTAATTATCCAGAAATTATTGAAAAATATTAAAAAATAAGATCATCACATTTAGAATGGAGAATTGAATAAATTTAATAATTAATTGATAATTTAAAATCAAATAAAATTAAAGATGTATTTTATGATTTTAAACCATTATCAATTAATTTAATTGGTCATTCATTTGGTGGTGCATCTGTTCTTAGAGTTGCTTAAGAAATTAATGTAAATAGTGTTATTGCATATGATCCATGGTTATTTCCATTTAATTAAGAATAAATGCATAAATAAGTTAAATGTAGAACCTTGATATTAAGTAAAGATAAAAATAGAATTAAATAAGAATGGTTTGATCCTAAATTACTTAAAGAATTTTTAGATTTTAATACTTAAATTGAACATTATAAAATTAAAGGTTTAGATCATGCTTATCCTGTTGATTTAACTTATTTAATTGCAGCTGAAATGGTATTAATTGGTGAATTAAGAACTGATGAAAATCTATTCAAAATTAATAATTTAATTAGTTCATTAACTATTAAATTTATGTAGTAAAAACTATTCAGTATTGAAGAAAATAAATAATTTTCTTGAAAATATTATTATTAATCAATCTAATATAAATATCAATCATTAATAATTTTATTATAAACTATATAATATTTTCTTAAATAATTATATAATTCTGAAAGAAATAATCTTAATCTATATAAGTTTGTTAAAGATAATTTTTTATATTATTTTTACTTGTAAACTATTTTCTCAAAAAAATTATAGATTTACTAAATACTTTAAATTTCGAGTAATGGTATAATAGACTATTATTTATCTAGAAATTGCAGTCCTTTAAAAGATATTTTAGATTAAATTAAAGGTTATATTTTTTCAAGCACTTAATCCATTATTAAATGGATATCAAATTTCTAATTCATTATTTTAAAGATGAAATTAATTAAGTAAACTATTAAATAATTTATCATTCACAATCAAAATATTGGTTTTAATTACTTTTATAATAATACCAAAAATTTACATCCTTTATAATTAAATTCACAATAATTTTTAATTCTTCTAATTAAAATGAATTAAAGATCTATAAAATGAATCTCTTATAATATTTTATTATCTTAAATATTTGTTGTTTCTTCTTATGATGACAAGCCAAATTAATATAAACATAATATGTTTCCTAATTATAATATCTAAGAGAAATACATATGCTTTAAATTCTCCATAAATTTATAATTTAAATAACTACAATAATTGCAAACTGTATGCTATATTATCTATTTAAAGGTTCAAAGATATCAGAATAGTTTAATTATCCCTTTGAAAAGGTGGTGATCTTTGAAAATCTTAAAAATATAACAAATTAAACAATAAAAAAAAGTTGTGACTTTATTTTTGAGATAAGAATTAAAATAAATTATAAAGAAATCATTGGATTACCACTTAGTATAGATTTAATTAGGTAATAGAGGAAAATTACTTAGATGAATTAATCAATTTATTTTAAATCAAAGCCTCTTGCACTAATTAATAATGAGTTTTTCAATGAAGAATGGTCAAACTTAAGTTTATATAAAAAAAAGACTCATCAAGATAATAAATTATACATACAATAATAAATGAATTAAAATTAAATTAAGAATTTTTTTAAAAGTAAGATGAATAGATAGCTTCTATAATTAATATGAAGTAAATATTATAAAATGAAAATGGTAAAGTTCTAAACTAGTTGTAGTTTTAGAATCTTAAAATATAAAATAATTAAATGTCTTATTAACTGAAGGGACTCAATGCTAAAAGATTATAATAGATAAATCAATCAACATTCAAGACACGTAAAAGTTAAGATTATCCTTGCGACCTTTCTTATGAATACCAACCTCGAAACAATTCTTTCAAACACACTAGAGCTATTACTCAACATAATTAAAGACTAATAAATGAGGATGAAATATCAAAGATGGTAAGACCTTAAACTTCAGAGGGGACCAGACGAATGAGAATAAAAGAAAAGCATACTGAAATTGGAAATCTGAATTCAAACTTAAAATGTGATATACTTGAATGTGAAAATGAAGAAGATAATTAGTATAACATTATTCATTTACAATAGAGAATAACAATTAGAGATAAATTATCATATTATATGTAATTCAAGTAACACTACTAGAAGCTTAAAACCTAAAATTCCATTTTAGACAACTCTCGATCAAGATTTTATAAGTTTGTTCGCCAATGATTGATTAATTAATCTTATATTTTTTGTATTATTATTGCTATTTCATTTATTTAGTAAAACATGCATCCTTATTTATCATTACTTTTATACAGATAGATAATTAATTAAAATAAACTAGCTAAATAATCTTATATTGTTGTATAAATTATATCTTTCAATAAAAGTTCTATCTATTGTTAATTGAAAAAAGAATTAGGAAAATTTCATAATTATAAGTCTTGATTCTGATTGACTTTCTTATTTACTGATTTCTGTTATTACAAATTATAAATTAATTTAACAACATCTAATTTATGAATTAAAGAACTATTATAAGCTATTAAATAAAAGTCAACAATAAATGAACTTGATAAGCTGAGACAATTATTTAAGTATATTTTATGATATATTATGAATTTATTGTTATCTATTAATTAATTTTATCATTCAGAGAATGATAAAATTAATTTTCGTATTAAAATCATTAATAATAGAGCTTGATCAATTTATTGTATTTTTGATGCAGAATAGATATTTTTGATAGTGATCTCATTCAATAAACAGGTGCTTAATAAATTAATATTTAAAATATAGTTAACTTCTTAATTCCTAAATGATAGAATCAATAGATGCGAATAAATAATAGATCAAAGGAATATATAAATATTCATTTCAAATTTCAAAATCGAACTTCAAACATAAATATTAAAATTAAAATAATCTTAAAGTCATAATAAGGAATACTCAGTATCAAATTTTTGATTCTAAGATTCATTTTTGAAGGATTAGTCAATTATAGATTAATGTAGAATGTATGTACAAAGAAGTCTACACTTTTAATTTTGTATTTTATTTGATTAAAAGTAAAAACCTTTATGGAAGTAATCCTTTGAATTGTATTAAATTTAAGATAAGTTGTAATACAAATAAATAGACAATCTAATAATTCCACTTGATAGATACTGAATTAAAACAAAATAGGGAAGTTACTTATTTTGATATCAATAAATTATAAAGTCAATAGCTACACGATTGATAATCAAATTAAGAAATGTTAATCTATATTTTATAGAAAGAGACTGGAAAAGTTAATTACATATTGAATTATAAATGATATTTATTTAATTTAATTTTTTAACAAAAAAATGTATTCATGATCAATCTATACAAATCGGATTTTCCATATCTTTACCATTTTTATCCTCATGACTGCTGTTGGGTTGAGGAGATTTTATTTTTTATAAAGATTTTTCTTTCATTTTTTATTAAGGAACTTATTACTATTATTATTATAATTATTATTATAATTATTATTATTATTATTATTATTATTATTATTATTATTATTATTATTATTATTATTATTATTATTATTATTATTATTGTTGTTGTTATTATTATTATTGTTGTTGTTATTATTGTTATTGTTATAATTATTTTTGTTGTTATTATTATTGTTGTTGCTATTATTATTATTATTGTTATTATTGTTGTTATATTTATTAAATTTATGGTTGTTATCCAATAATGGGAGGATTCTAATTACTTAATGCTTTTTAAATTTAAGCACTAGAATCTGATTATTTTTAAGTGACTATTTATTATTAAAATACATTTTATGGATTTGGAAATCCTTGAGGGAGAAAAGCTTATAATGATTTTAACTGCTCTTCTCCAAAAGTTTTCAAATCTTCATTTTACTTTTCAATTTGACCAGGGTTTTACATAATGATTTGATCAGCCAACATTTTTGTAAATTGATTAGTAGTATTAATTTTAGGTTTCTCTTCAGAAAGTTTATAGATATACTTCTTAGTGGCACTTTATTATTATTATGTTTATTAAGGATTTTTAACATTATTTTCTGTGGAGGCATTGATATTATTAGCAAAATTTTTTCTTATAAATTCAGAAAATTATTTTTTTATTACTCTAACCATTCTTTCTTTCAATCTATTAGACTTTTATATTGGTTTATCATTTTCTTAATGTGTAATTTATGATTATTGCTATTATTATTATTATTATTATTATTATTATTATTATTGCTATTATTATTATTATTGCTATTATTGTTACTATTGCTATTATTGTTACTATTATTGCAATGATTACTATTATTATTACTACTTTTCTTATGATTATTAATCTTATTATTATGCTGATTACTTTTATTCTAAATTTGACTAATCTTCATTTTATTAATCATTTATCTATTTTTCTAAATTCTTTTATGCAAGTTCTTATTGTGATACTTCGTCTACCCAAGTTTCAAATTTTTTAAATTTTATGAATTTAGGTTTAGTAATTGTTTATTAAGATAATAATTATTGTAATGAGTTTTATTTTCCTTCAATATTAGTTAAATTTGATTCAACTAATTATTTTAACTATGATTTATTTTAATAAGTATTGACATTTTCATTTTTCTCTTTATGCTATATTTATTGTTATTATATTTATTGCTGTTACTATAGGACAGATATTTAGTCCATTTATTTTTAATATAACTACATCTAAATGAGAGTGGTAGGATTTAACATAAATAATCTATGGAGAAGTGTTGGGTCTCCCAATTACTAAATTGGTTATTTTTATTATTCTTCTAATTAGTTCTATTTATTGATACTAACTTATTCTTCTTCAGACTCTTCCAATTCCTCCTTAATCTCTTAAACTATTACACCCTAAAGATAAAATAAATAAAATACATTTTAATCAAAAACAACTTCTTTTATGTTTTCTTTATTATTTCTATATTGTTCCAGTAATTGTAATTAATACTAATCAATCATGATATCAAAAATTTTTTTTTTGCAAACAGGACATTTCCATTTTCTAGATGTTCCTGCATTAATAGTGATTGTATTTTCAAGAGAGAAACATTATACATGAGTACAAAACCTTCCTCTAGCAGGTGTCTAATAATTTTTAGAAACTATTACTTAGATCATCTAAGAATCAAACTAACACTTAAGAGAGGCTTTGATAGTAATTTTATCAATTTGAACATCATTATCTGTTTTTTCAGAAACACATGCTTTTTAAATGAGTTGAATACACTCTTCTTTAGTTTTGATACATTCTTTATTTTGTTTAATCTAATTGATCAATTCCTAATGAGGTCTCTTCTTGGTTAAGTAAATAGCTTATGCATAGACACCACTAAGTTATTAAATATAAGGTATTACTCTTCACATAATTTAAACTATGTTTTGGGTTCTTGAAAATTTTGACCTTCTTTTATTATGATTTGATTGTATCCTTATTTAATTGAGAGAGTAATATTGTTATGTTAGAATGGAATGATTTAAATTTCATCCTTTCTTTTTTTAAGACTACTATTAGATTTAAGTGGTTTGAGTTCAACAAGACGTTGTTAATTAATTGATATTTCACAAAAATCAGGCCAAGTAATTTCATTCATGTATTTAGCATCTAATCTAATTGATCTCAATTCAACTTAGTATTAAAATGATCTATCTTATAATTGACTATGCTTATATAATTAGATAATACTGAAATTCTTCTGAATTAAGCATGAAACTTAGTGTACTTGAATTAGTATTCATCAATGTTGGTTTTGTGAGAACTTTAATAATTTAATTGAGTGGATCAATTTTGCTGAGTATGCAAACTGGACATTCAAACATCTTAACATCGTTGGGTTACAATTTCATACATGAAATATGAAGTTTGTTATCACAATTAATGCATTTAACTTCTTCATTAGTAACCCTTTTGGCGGGAATGATTCTAGGAATAATTGTAATTTTCTTACTTACATGGACACATAAGGAGTTATTAAATTTCTGTTTGTGGAATAGTAAGGGAATCATTCCATTGATCTAAATAATGTAGAATGCATACTGTATTATTGATAGTAAAATTGTTGTGGAGTATTTTATCTCATTTGTTATTGATAGAGATTCATATTCATTATTGGAGGGTATTATTGTAATAATTATTGTTAAGCTTGTTATGCTTATGGGAGTACCATCTTAAATTGAAATGAATTCAATACATAATTCAGATAATGATTTTGCAAGAGTTATGGCATGGCTCGCTGCATTTGTGGTTGTTATTGGAATTATTGTGTTCTATTGATTATGCTTCCTTAAAATTTCCTTAAGATAGCCATTATGGTCTCGTTGTTTTAGAGGTTTGGTTGGTGTTAAAGAAGCTATTCCATGGGTCTTGAAGGATCTACTTATATCAAAAATTGTAGAAGATGTTTAGGAATTAAGGCAATAATTTCTTCTTTTTTTTTTTTTTCAGCAATACCCAGTTCTTTTGCAATTTATTATAGTTGTTTTTTTCCTAATTTTTATAATTGCACACTATTCACAGCTTCTTTAATTGCCTTCTCGTACGCTTAAGATATTTATGTATTTTAAGGATTCAACATGCCAAAATTCGACACATTTAGAAAACTAAATATTAGAATGCTTCTTTACTTGAAATGAGGTTGTCCAGACATTCTGCTTGTTTTATATTTAAATTTTGATCTTTAACTAAAAAGATTCGTCATTCCCAGCACACCTCCCCCATCCTTAATTTAACTTTTTAACTTTATGGTATTTACAATTTAAGTGAGTGTCGTATCTTTTTTAATTTTTTTTAAAAATCCCCTTATTTAGTGTTTCTTTTAGTTATTTTATTAATATATTTTATTCTATCCCCTTAAACTCGAAAATCAAAAATCTCCATCTCTCTTCATTTCCTTTAGACCTCAACTGCTCAATTTCCAATTGACCATAAATTCCATAATACATATTAGTGCCTTTACTAAATTAACCCCTTAAATTGTAACTGTATAATTACATAATCGAATGAATTTAAATTACTTTTTGTAAAATACTTAGTCATTCCTTTATAAGACATCATTCCTTATTAATCTAAAAGACCTTACACATTTTCTAAAACTTGAATATCAACAATCAGCAATATAAAATTACCGTATCGTAATTTTCAGTTTAAGTCCTTTGCCTTTATATCTACTACAAGAACTGTATCATAAACCACTTAAAACCTTCCTCAATTATCAAAAGGGTTAGCCTAAGTAATTAAACTAGTAAATGTAGCAATAATTTAGATATAAATCTAATATAATATTACAAATAGTTAATGTTTAACTAGTTTATATCATTTAGTAGATTTAATTTCACTTAAATTACACACTTTATAAAGGATATGATATTATCATAACTGAAATATTAATGGAAGAAATATAAAACCTTTGCAGTAGTATAAATATTCTAAAATAATTACAGAGTTATAATTTTATTAAATTATAGACATGAAAGAATGTAGAAATAAATACTTATAGATGGAGATAATATTAAATTGATACTGATGAAACTTCTACTATTTTAGCTGATTCAATAAATTAAAAGAAATTAGCAGTTTATAAATATATATATGAATCATTGTAAAAATTAATAGTTCAATAAAGAATTAGAAAAAAATAAGAAATTCTATGTATCAAATAATATTATCAAAATAAATATGATGAATAAAGAATAAGAATATTAAGAATTGAATCTTTATTAGACCTAGTCATAAAGTTAATTTATTTAATGTTGGTAATAAAATAAGGAAAATAAATAATTATTTATTTTTTTATTAGTTTATTGTAATTAAATTATGAAGTATATTATTAATAGTTATATGTTTATTCATAATAAAGAATTGTATGGGTGTTCACTAAAATAGTAAGAGTAAGAAACTTTGATTGCATTGACTACATTTGGAGAAGGAACCTAAGAATTATTGGGTATATATATAATATTAATAAAGTATTATCCAATAAGGATGATGATTTATAGAAAAAATCTTAAATCAATCTTGATTCCAAATTTGTTATTCAAATAATGTTACTTAATGAATTAATAGTTGTTGCAGGTGAAAGTTTCCAAATCTTCAAGTATTCTAATACAAAAATTGATCATCTTGTAGATCTATAATCTAATGAAGTGATTTCTTGTTTTGACAATGTTAATAATCAAAAGATTATTTCTGGTTCCATTAATTCAATTCTAACTATATGGGACATCAATACTTAAAAACCTCTTTCACAAACATAAGTCTTCCAAAATCAAGAAATTTATGACTTGAGTTTAAGTGCTGATGGTAATGTTGGATCATTGATTACCAATAAAAATGGACTCTTTCGTTTTGATGTAAGACTTAATTAAATATTTCCATTCTAAACCAGACAATCATTAAAATATAGCAAAATCAATTATAATAAATTTGATAACTCTTATGTAATGGCAATTGATCAAGAAAATGGTATCATCGATTTATATGATACAAGACAAATACAATAAACCTGTTAAAGAATCAGATGTTAAGACATTATATCAAATGCTGATTGGTTGATAAACTCACTTATTATTTCAGCTTGTCAAGAAGGCAATGTTGAAATCATAGAAATGGATACTCATCTAAAGAAATATTAAATTCACAAAGAATATACAATAGATAATATGTAAATTTATGACAACATAGTTGGTTTGATATCTGCCAATCATTTTGGATTGATTTACCTAAAAAAATGATAACATATTAATTACTAAAATCAATTGATATATCAAATTATAGAACTCCTTATATTCAGCTAAGGATTCTATATTTTAATTGTATAATTATTCTTTTCTTTTATTATTAAAATTATTCTGAATAAATAAATATTAATATTCTAATATATAAATCTGTATAATAAAATCATTTAGGAATGAAATTAAATAACAATATTTTCACATAGATGCTAACTAAAATTTTTATCACATAAGCCAATATTTAATTAAAATTAATATTAATCTTTATATATATATATTTACCATTTAAATTGTATCACTTGTTTGATATAAGTAATGAATAAATTAATTTCAAAATAATATCCAAATATAAAAACTGATAAAATATTTGAAATTAAATGATTATAGAGAAATAATTTATTGCTAATATTGTAATTTTATTATTTGGGTATTAAATTCATTTATGATTATATCAAACAATTAACTCTAAAAAATGCTTTATTAATAATAAATTTAATGAGTTTATAATAAAAATCAATTAATGGTTATTTCTCTAAAAAAAGCACAAAATTAATAAATTTACTAATGCAATAACATGTCAATAACTTCATGTAATTGTCCATAATTTTATTAGTATTTGTAATCTTTAGTTTATCATAAGAATATATATACTGATATTTTATCATAATTAATAAATAAATGATAAAGAAAAAGAAATTAGCTTTAATTAAGTTATGATGATGAAATGGAAATAGGAATTTATTTATGTCAATTATTCTAAATTTTAGAGTACAATAACATTTCTTTAGCAGTTATTTTAACTTTCTCGATATTAGAAAGAGACCAAGGCAATCTTTTAACTTCAAAAGAAAACTAGATTTAAAAAAAAATATTTATACAATTTTATCGTCTGAAATTGTATTCTAAATTTTATTGCATAAAGCTGCAATTTTTTTTTTTGAGTCTTTCTGAATTTGCTCATCTAAGCAATCTAAGAAATATTTAGTATTTTTACCTAAATATTGTTCATAATATCTAACAAAGGTTGTAGAAGAAAATATTTCTCTTAAAAATTCTGAATTCATAGTTTTATTCTTGCTATTTTTTCTAAATGGCAATATTATATTTTTCTTTGTCTCTTGTTCTATAATTTCTATGAATTTTTTCTATGCGCATTTCATATTTAACTCTAAAAAATTAAGTCTTATAAATACTTGTTTTATCATTTTCTTCTTATACCTTTCTGAAAATGAACTTTAATGCTTTTCTTAAGCAAAACTTTATAAGTTCCTCTCTACTCTTGTGTTATTACTATTGCTTTTGGAATAACATCTCAAGGACATTCGCCAAAGAAAATTGGCTTTTATTTTTTAACGAAGAAATTAGTTGATTCACATCTTCATCTTCATTGATTATCATAAGTATATAGTTTTCTAGTGTTTCCCTTGATACAATTGGCATAACATCTTTAGTCTCGAAAATAGATCTTCTTGTACCCTGAGTTGTACTAGCATCCTCCTTTAATTACACTAAAATTAGTTTAGTTAAGCTTACTTTGATCTGATTAGACAGGAATTTACTCATATTGTTAAGTATAGAGTTAAGTTTGATTAGCATAAGGATAACCATATGGATTAGGATAATAAAAATTTTGCATATTCTAATACATATTCCAATAGTTGTTTTATTAGCGGAGTTAGAGATCAAAGATGAGTTAGTTAGTCAAAAAGCTGTACATTTAGTTGTAATTTAATTCGAAATATTATAATTAGAAACAAAAGAAAGATATGCTATTTAAAATGCCGTATAATACATATATTCATTAATTAAATTTATCCGCACTTAATTCAAGATGAATTGAGCATTTACAGGGCTTTGTAGTATAATAGAAAGAAATGTAAATTGAATTTTAAATGAGAACAAGGTAATATGTTACTGAATATTCTTCATTAATGTAAATAAAATTACTGATATTTTAAGACTTTTATTCATTGCTAATTAAGTCATTAAATAATAAATAATTTATGATATATAAAATAATAAAAACAACAAAAACTAAGACAATAACTCAAAATAATTACTATTGTTATCAAAAGTAATTAATGAATTTAACTCAAAATTTTATTTCTTAATTTCATTGCACCTAAATAAAAAAATTAGCTATATATTTTATTAAATTCATATATTCTTAAAAATCTTAGCTGTTTTTTAAAGAATAAATAATCTAAAATATTGGTGAAATTAAAATTATTGGCAAAGTTCTTAAAATTATAATAAAAATAATTGTACAAAATATAATTATAGAAGTATTTAAGACTTTAAAATTTGTTGTTTTTATATCTAAATGCTTTTAATATTAAATAATTGATAATTATTATAAAATAGTAAAATGTAAAGTAGAATGGCAAAGAGACTATAAAAAGACTTAGAATAAATTTAAAAGGCATATGCTGATTAATTCAATGTAAGAATGCCCAATAATGATATTAAACATTGGATTGTTGGATTTGAAGGTGCAAAAGGGACTCTTTATTAAGAAGAGAAATTTGAGTAAACATTCAGATTGATATTTTAGATTGCAATTCAAATTCTCAAATGAATATGTAGAAGTACTTTATTCTTATTTAGCTCTTTTTCCCTTTGAAAATAGCCAATTGAATCACCTGAAGTAATATTAATAATCAGATAATTTAGGTCATTTTTATTGGTAAAACACCTGAACATGAACATATTTATTCGAATGGATTCATTTGTTTATCAATATTATTTGATGGTATTTACATGTTAAATAATTATTATAGAATGGTCTGCTGCCTTAACTGTATCATCTGTGTGTCTCTCAATCCAATCCATGTTATCAAGTGCTACAAAAAAAGTAAAGATTATTGTTAATATTATCAGATGAAACCTCCAAATGATGCAGAATTTGTAAAGAGAGAGCAGCAAATAGAGGTCCAAAGAGTTTTCTATGGAGTTATCATGATGAAAAGTGCTGAAGAATTTGTAAAAAAAATATATAAATTGAATACGAAACATTCTTAATCATTATTAAATAATATCCTAATCTGAAACATCATCCAAAATTCTCTATAAGTCTGTATTACTTTAACTGCTTGATGGAATCTTCTACACATTTAAACTATTCCTAAATCCATTATCTTAAAGATTAGCACTATTTCTATATCCATTATCTGATATTTGATTCTATGATACTAATACCGAGCCTCTATTAGAACCAATAGATAATCTAGATTTGTTCATAAGCATTTTGGTAGTATCTATCATACTGGTTCTTTTTGAGGATTATCTTGCAGGACTGCTTTGACAACTAGATAGATTGCTTTCAATTATTAAAATCAAATCATTTAGATCTTAATCAGCTGCTGGAGTCAATTTCAACATATTTTACAATTTCAACACCAAATCCTTTTATTATTACTTTAACTAATTATTAACAGTTGAGAATTGGGCAATTTATAATTTACTTAATCTAAGTTCATCATTTAGTCTATTAATCTATTCTTTATATTTATCATCTTATGACATTTCTCTAACAGGTGAATATTACTTAATATTTTCAGAACTTCTCATTAATTATTCCTACATTAATTTCAATTCCTCCTTGTAACCCTCTGCAATCTTATTACATTCTTCTTAAGATTATTATTTAGCATTCTTTAATTATTCCTCAAGTACTAAAAATAATTCATTTATTATTACCTTTATATTGATTTTCCAATTATTTTTAAAATTTTAACTATTCATCTCTTTATAAATCTTTACTGCTATTGATCTTATTTAATTCATCCATATTTCTTTTAAATTCATCTACCTCTTCCTATAGCTACTTATTTTATGTTTTAATTTCTATTAATTCTATATAATTATTATTACATTCTAATTCATTATTCAAATCATTTACTACAGATTCTAATCTCTCCTTATTAATTATCTATTCATGCAAATCTTATTAAATTTTTGAATATTATTATTTCAATTCTTCAATTTAAGATTCAAATTAATTTTTTTATTCATTCAAAACTCCAATCTCTTATTTTTATTTATTATTTTCTTATTCTAATACTTTTTATTTAATTTCAAATTCGTTCAACTATGAAGTTAATTCTTAAATTTATTTTGTTAAATTGGATTCATTTCTATTTAAGTTTACAAGAAGGAGTTCTTATTAACTAAGATTTTAATCTGACTCCTATCTTTTTACAGATAATATTTGGATTTATGTTTCAAGATCTTATATTTTACTTGTAAATTCTGATTTTTATTCTAATATATGTAAAATTAAAATACATTCTTAATTTTTATTAAGTAAATTAATTTGATCTGTAAGCACTTACTTTTCTTATATTAAATCTATTTTTAATTAATTATTAATATACTTTGATTATCATTTTATAATAATAATGAGTTTGATTAAATATATTAATCTAAAGTATTTTAAGTTTCAATTATCTTTTCATTTAATATCTCATTTGTTTTTTACTTTTCAACATTTAAATTTTATTCACTTTCAAGATTTTATTTTAATTTTAAAATTTCTGTTTCTTTTTCTATAATTAAATTCTAATGATGCTCAATATCTTCTTTTAGTTTTGGAATCAATTCAATTTATTATTCAAATTATTATATTTAAGATTTGATCTATTCTTGTTCTTCATTAAGTGTAGAAATCATTAAATCTTTTTAATTCAATTACTATTAAGTCTATTACAAATCTTCATTAAGTTTTGCTATATTTTAAATTTCATTTTTCTAATCAGCAATCTAAGACTGAAGTATTTACTCTTTAGCCAATAGATCTATATGTTAATATAGTATTTATACCTTAATTTTATTGAATTAGATCATTTATTTGATTATGTAAATTTTTCTCATTTATTAATATTTTTTCTTTAAATGATTCAAATTTATTTTCATTTTCTTTAAGATTGTCTATCAATCTTTATTTCTCTTATTATAAATCTAGATAATATATTTGTTTATTATTACCTTGAATTTATTCTTTTAATTCTTCAATAGTAAAATTTAATTCATAAATTTAATTAGGATTAGATTATTGATCCTAAATTCTGATTGGTGATTATAATTCTACAATTTTTGATATTTAATATATACCTTTAGATTCAGCACATTGATTAGATGATCCTAAAAGGATTTCTTCATCAAAATTCTCACAAGTCTCTTGATATTTGACTTCAGAAGCCAAAGTTTCAAATTAGCATTGATCCATTGATTCAGTAGTTTAATTATTATCTTGGCTTCCTAGTTTCTTTATGTTTTATAACATTTATGAGTTCTAAGATACTCTTATAGAATCTTATATAATATTAATTTAATACTGTTATTAAATTATTATGATTTGAATTCTTCGTTTTGATAATGTTCCAAAACTAAAATGTCATTTAAAACAATACTTTATTTTAATTCTGCAATTTATTTGTTTAAGTCTTCAATGAGATTAAGTAGTTATTGATTCTTTTGAGTCAAACTGAAAATTTAATCTTGATTATCTATTTGAATAAAGAATATTGATTACAATCTTTGACTTCTTCAATTTAGAGATTAAGATCATTTATTACTTACTATTGTTACTATAATTTACATTTATATTCCAAATCCATAGATTCAAGTTCTTGTTTAATGATATATAATAAATACATAGTTCTTTTTCTTAAAGTTTTTGTTTCAACATTAAACTACTTTAATCCATTTGCTTTTGCAATTAAACATAAGAATTTCTAACAGTCTATTCTGCTTAATTCTTTCTTTCTTCTTTAATCTTTTGTCTGACAACATTGATTTATTCAATAATTTCTGCTCCACAATTTCTTCGATCCAATTCTGAAAGACAATTAGTGAATCGTATCAATTTCTTCTCAGCTCTTTTTTTGATCTACATAGCATTATTATAAAGCGATAACAATTCCTTAATATCTGTTTATTGCTGATCCATTAAATTAAATATCAAATATACTTAATAGATTACGCCATGTTAATTAACTTAGAATAATACAAAACCAAAAATTGAAATATATATAATATCTTGTATTCATTTATTACTCTAATCTTACTTGATGTTGTTGTACTTTTATAATGCATTGCAAATTTCAGATTTAAATAATTCTCTACTTTATTCCTTATTCAAATTAGAATTCAAGTTCTATTTCTTTTAATCTAAACTACAATTGAGTATAGACATAGTTGATTTTTGTAATTAATTTGATTTCATCTCTTAAATCTAATTATATTTTATTTATTCCATTATTATTACTTATTAAGTGAGATCATTAACTTTTGCTCTTTCTGATTCTATCATTAGATTTAATTCTTAATTTAACCAAAAACGTTACCTAAGATCTTTTTATCATGGTCACTTTTTTATTATTTTATTATAGAATTGGCCTTATGGACTTCTATAAATAACTTATATATAATAACATGATTTAAGATCATTTATTTCTTCAACATAAAGATTGTAAATTTCTTAATGTTTATCATCTGTATATATGGAATTTAAATTTGATTTCACATCTTTGACTATAATAAATTTTGAGTAACTTTTTTCTTACAATTAAACAAAGGATTGGTTGTTAGACGAGGACTTACTTGAGGAGAATTTTAATTAGAAAATGCCACTCTATCAGACTTGATTATTGTTCTTAGAGAATTGACCTCAGTCAATAAATCTGGTGTCATGTCATTCTTATGCAATTTATAATATTAACTAGAAAATTTGATAAAATTCTTTTCAGCCTTTTTATTAACTTATTTTGAAACTGTATAGATCTTCATCATCTCTCGTAATTTTTATTCATTCATTAATTCAATTATAAATTATCACCTTATCAATAAATAATCATATTATCAATAAATACTAATACTTTAATAACACAAATAATTTTATTCATTAACATCCCGTTCTCCATCTCTTCTCAAGATTTTCAAAATTACAATCAAATTGAGCTTTGCCAAGTTATTAATTCACATCATTGTGTCTCTAACACAACCATATTGATAAATCCTTCCTTGATGTAACTTATGGAGGATCTAAATTAACTCAACATTTTCCATTACTTTTCAAGATTTCCTATTGAAAATGAGCTTTGCAATGTTTACAAGCATAAAATTCAGCTATGGCATCAAACAAATTTCTCATCTTCTATTATTACTCATATGTAGGTTCATCTGGATAATAGATTGCTGTAGTATGCAACATATTCCAAGTATAATTTCCATATGTAGCCCTATTGAGTGGACATTCTTAATTTGGTTATTCATCATCAAATTAAAGCTTAGATCTCTTTTTGGATTTGAAATTGAGAATGTCTTCCTTTTCACAAATAGGTTCAAAACAATTCTTATCACTCATAGATTAAATAATAATTCAATAAATACAATCACAAATATAAAGATGCAGCAAAAACAATACCTTTCTTAAGTTTCTTAGAACTTTCCTTAAACTTATTTTCTAATTCCTTATTTCCAATCACCTTAGCAGCCTCTTCCATTTATTTTATTAATTCATCTAATCTTCTAAGACATCTAATGATCGATCCTTCAAATAGATCAGTCATTTTACAAATCTATAAGAATGATTATCCTTAACACCAAGCTAGAGTTACTTCCATCATCTAACTCTTAAATGTAGCCAAATACTCTTTCTATAATGATATGATATTAAGAATATTACTTCATCAATATTCATTTTAGATTCTGTATATACAGTATAAAGATATTTAGCCTATTCAAGTACTTTTGTATATAATTATTGCATCTTATCATTTTTTAATTGAAATTTTTCATTATTATTTTCATCATGAACAAAAACACTCAATACAGCACAAATTTCTTCTGAAGCCAAATCATTAAATAATCCACTTACTAATAATTCAGTTAACTAATATATATATTATATATATATATACCATAATTTCATCTCCTGCTGATATTTCACATGCTACTTTACCTTTCATTTAAACAATTTCATCTTTTGATATATATTGTAATCTTCTTAAAATTCTTTTCATTCTCTTAAGATCTCCACTCAAAACCATTTGTGAACTTTCTTCAATTTATTTATTCAACAATTTAATTGTTTAACCTAATTTAATTTTCTCATCATAGATTTTTAATTCCTATTCTAAATTCTAATTATTTAGATCTTTCTTGACTTATTCTATTTGTTCAAGAAGTTATTGTCTCTATTCTAACAATTTATCCAATTAATCATCATTAATTTTCATATCCTTTATTGGATGAATAAGAGGAGGTTAACCTTTAAATTCTTTGAGTAATTTAATCATAGTCTATTTAATTTGTTATTTGCTTTCATTTGTTCTAAGATCTTTGGGTAAATTCAATTTTATGGTACTGATCTCATAAAGTTACTCAATAGAAACAGGTACAATTTCTAATTCTCCCTCTAAATCATATGATAATTAAGGTTAAAGTGGTTCATTCTAATAATTATATATATATAAATATACTTTCTTTCTTTTTTAAACATATAACATTACATCTAAAATAATAGATTGTTCTTAATCTTTGTTTTTTTTATTTCCAAATTTCTTTTACATAAAATTAATTGATACACCCCATCCCCAATCTCCATCTGAACCTTTTATTCTAATAATTCTGCCTATATGCATAAATGGTAAGACAATTTATGGTTAATAAATAATTTTTCTTATTTTATTATATATGTGAGTAGATTAAGAGATTATATCATGATAATTACCTAATTTATCTTCATTTTCAATCTATATTTAATCTCGTTTTTATTTAAAATCCTATAATTTTTCCTTCATTTCAGGTAATTATCTATCATTTTAGAATTAATGGAAAGATTTCTTAATAATGAATTCTGGATCAGTATCTTCCATCCTCATAGAATTGATAAGCATATTATATGATAATCTAAATGAAGAATTTAAACCATCAGATTTTCCCTTAAGCATAGATTTGGCAACTTCTTAATCCATCTTCTCATCACACATTAAAATACAAACTCCTTTATCATCAATACCTCTTCTACCAGCTCTTCCACTCATTTAAATATACTCTCCACCTTGAATCCATCTAAATTATTCACCATCAAATTTTCTAACAGTTGTGAAAACTACTGTTCTAGAAGGCATATTCAATCCCATAGAAAATGTTTCTGTTGAAAATAATGCCTTAAGATATCCTTCTTAAAAGAGTATTTCAATAATTTCCTTAACAATTGGTAATAAACCACCATGATGAATTCCAATACCTTTCTTTAAAATTGGAAGCATTAATTGAATTTATGGTAATTATCTATCCTCTTCAGATAAACAATTCATTGCATTTTTATAAATGGTTTCAATATTCTCTTTTTCTTTTGGTGAAGTTAAATCTAATTTTTACATTCCAATAGCATATCCTTCTACCTCTCTTTTAGAAAAGGAAAACACTATAGCAGGTGCTAATTCTCTCTCTTATATCATCTTCATCAATTTAAATAAATCTGAACCCTCTGTAGCCTTTCTTTTCCTTGTATTTTCAACATTTTCTTCCAATTTAGCTACTGCCTCTTAAAATTTGTCTTCTTTAAATTTTCCTGTTTCATCTACAACTAAATAGATTCCTTCAGCACCACTTGGAAATAGATAATGTTATAAAGGTGTAGGTCTATAATCAGTATAAACAACATGACAAGGTTAACGTTTGATTCTACAAACCCATTCAGCAAATTCACTAGCATTAGGAATTGTAGCAGATAAAAAGACAAATCGAACCTTAAGAATGAATATATATATCTCTTACATTTTAATTTAATAAGATGATAGTCTCTTCCCAAACTACTCCTCTTTCTCTATCTCTCATATAATGTACTTCATCCATTATGACCCATGCTACCTCCCTCACAATTTCTGAACCTCTATATAACATACTCCTTAAAATTTCTGTTGTCATTACCAAACAAAAGGCATTCTCATTCAATGTTACATCTCCTGTAACCAATCCAACATCTCCAAATTCTTATTACAATTCTCTGTATTTTTAATTTGATAAAGCCTTAATTGGAGAAGTATACACAACTCTTTGTTTATCTCTTTTAGCCATTGCTATAGCATATTCTGCTACTGCTGTTTTACCTGCACTTGTATGTGCAGCGACTAATACTGATTCATTTGATTCCAAAGTCTTGACTGCTATTTTTTGAAATGGATCCAAAGTAAACTTATATTATTTTGCATTCTATTTCTTTTCTAGAATAGGTTAGTAATCTTCAGGTGTGTACCACTCATGAATACAACCTTCATTCTCTTGGTTTTTTATTATCTTAAATGCCTCAACTTTCTCCTATGCTTCTACATTCATTGACACTTCTTCCTCCACTTGGTTCTCCATTTGAATTCCATCATCATTTGCCTTTGTTTCAAAAACACCAAATAAATCCATTAATTAATTAAAGTAATATATTGAGTTAAATATTTCCTATAAAATTAATTATTTTCTTTTTTTCAACACTCTATAATGATACTCAAACATTACTCAGTCAAAATCAACAATCTCATTCAAAATGACAAAGTCCATTATTAAATCATTGTAACTAATGTAAACAATACTTCAGATACCAAAACAACAATGAATAGATATTCAGAACTTAAAGATTTTAATGAACAATTGATTAAAAACATTAATTTACTCAAACTTTAGTTATAATTGCCTGAATTCCCAAAAAGATCACTCTTCTCTAAAACCAATAAGAATCAAGAAAAGATTATTCAAAGACAATAAGAATTAGAACAATATTTTAATCAACTTTTCAGTATTGATAAAATTCTTAGTTTACCACCTGTCTAATCATATTTACCTATTGAAACACCTTTTAATTAATAGTAATTATACATAATTTAATTATAGAATGAAAATCAGTATCTCTATTGAAAGCTATACAGTTTATGATGATGTTGTAATCTACTCTATGAGATTTAAAAATAGAATTACAAAAGAAGAGTGGATCTACAAATAGAGATATTCTGAAATTAAGAATATTCATGATGCATTAGTTGAATAAGGATACAAAGGCAAATTACCACCATTTCCAACTCGCAAACTTTTTGGATAAACTAATGAAAATCCAGGTATGTAATCTAATTTTATCTTTTTCTAGAGAATATTGAAAAAAGACGTGAAGATTTAGAAGTCTATTTTAATGCTATTTTTAGCACTTAAGAAATATATGATAATGAGATTATATAATTTTTGATCTCAGATTCCAAAAAATATTTTGATACTAATAAAAAATTGGAAGAATAGAAAAAAATATTAACCTAATGATTTTAAATTTACTAGAATACATCTTATTAATTTGTACATTATATTTATATTTAATTGTTATAAATTCAATTTTAACTAATAATGTAAACAAACAGTGTTCATTCAATCAATCTTGATAAATAAACTAAATACTCTCAATTTGTAAATGCTTAACTTTTTAGTGGCTATAAAATTCGTGGTAAAGATAACTCTAAAAAATTCATAAATTAACTGAGTCCATCAGATGATTAAAAAATAACAAATAATTTATCATCATCATAAAGTTATGTAAATGCTATGAAAGCATTACAAGATAAAATTAAATACTTAGAAAATGAAAACTAAAATCTACAATCTTAAATTGTAAATCCATTTAATATTAATTAATAGAGTTCTAAAGATTTAACTAAATAAATTGAGATTAAATAAAGACATGTAAGTACTCATTAAAAATCTAATGATTGTTAATAAATAAAAGAAATTGAATTAAAATTAGTTTAAGTGGAAATTGAAAAAGAATAAATTAAAGAAGAGAATGAATAAAAAATATAATAATTACAACAAAATTTAATAAACATAGCCTAATAATCAGATTAAAGAAATAGAGAATAATTGGAATAGATACAAAAATTGTAATATTTATTAAATTACATTTTTAGATAGGATTAATTGGAATTGTAAGGCGAAAGTAATTAAAATTACAGAATTAAAATCAATACTTAAACTCAAGCAATTTAATAAGAAAAATTAGTATTTATATTTTAACTATATATTTAGAATAATAATAATCTTGAATTTAATTTAGATTAAGAAAAACGAGAGACTAAATATTTAATTGAAAAAAATGAATAATTACAAAACGAAATCAATAAATTAAAAGAATAATTATTTGAAATAAGAACATATATGAATAGATATACAAAATAATATGATGAAACAAGAATTTAATGTATAATTCATATATTTATCTATATATAGAATTGTAGGAAGAAAATATGAAATAAAAAAATTAAATTTATGAATTAACTAATTAAGTAGAATAGTAAAAGGAATTAAATTTAAAGTTATAATTAGGTTTAGAACATAAAAAATAAGAATTAGAAAAATCTGAATTAAAAAGAGTTAAGAAATTATCAGAGTCTAATATCAAAATTGATTAACTTAAGCAATAAATAATTAATTTGTCTTCCAATTCCATAATAAATACATAAAGTCCAAGGGAAACATTTAAAAAATACAAATAAAGTGCAGATATTGTGAATAAAACATAAAATTTAAGGAATTATAGACAATAAAATAATAATAGCAGAAGATAATTACTAGATTAAAATTGTAATTCAATATTTAATATTTAATAAGAATCATATAAATAGTAACCAAATGATTCATAAAGTAGTGTTTTTAGTAGGTTGATTGTAAAGACTTAAGAAGGGAACATTCTTACTTAATAGAAAAGTGATGATAGGAATAATATTGGAAACTTTATAGATGAACAAATTTAAACTATTTAATTAAGTGCAAATAAATCATAAAAATATCTTCAAACTTAATAATATAGAATCTAAGAATTAAATGAATAATTAAAGATTCTTAATTAGAAATATGAAGAAATTGAAAATTCAATTTCATAATTAACTGATTTAAAAATTAAAAGAGAAAAAAGATAACTTTTATTACAAATAATAGATCAAATACAAGATATTAATCAAGAGTTAAATACTCTTGTAGGTAATCCAAAAATTAATTAATAATTTTGAATCTTTCTTTAAATTTATTACACTTATTTTATATAAAGTTTTATTACAAAAATTTATCTGTTAATTTCAATATATTATTTATATTAAAATTCTTAGATGTTAAGAATTTATAATAAAAATTGAAAAGAAATAATGGGAGTTGGAAATTATACTTGAATATTAATGATTTCTCATCTTTAGTTTATTTTCTTAATGGTTATAATAAATTTGAATTCAAATTAAAAAGTAATAATAAGAATATTGTTGATAATTCTGAATATTAATCTATAGAAACTTCATCTTATAGTCATAATTGATCGCGTGGTGTAGGGGTTATCACGCGTCCCTAACAAGGACGAGGCCGCCAGTTCGAGACTGGCCGTGATCATTTTTTTTATTTAATTTCTTAATGTAATTAATTTTTTGGTTTTTGGGATTGGTTTTTACAATAGAATGCCAAGATCCTAATGATGCAGTATTTTCATAGTCAATAAATGTAGTCTTGAATGGTCAATTGAAACATTATTATGTGGGTAATGTAGTTGTACATGCATCAAGCAGATAAGAAAAAAACGACTATTTTCCTGAAGATTCTACTACATTTGATGAAGATGGAACACCAGAATTCATAGAGTATTTAGAACCTTATGATTATGATTAAGAAATAGATTTGAATGATTTAAGGGTTTCTAGAATATATCCAGATGTAAATAGAGATTAAGTCTTGCCTTTCAATATTCAATAAGGAAATATTAGTAATTATGCTGTGAAAAAGTATCTTGGAGATGGTACTTTTGCATTTGTTTAAAGTGCAATTAGATTGAGTGATGGATTACCTGTTGTATTAAAATAAATAAAGAAAGAATATACATGGTGGGCAAAGATGGAAGCTAAAGTATTAAATACACTCAATGAAGAAAGCAATCCTAATATTGTAAAATTGGTTGATGCTTTTTTTAATGATTCTAGTCCAGTTTTAGTCTTTTAAGAACTATAAAATTGTACAACTTTTGATTACAGAATCTATAATTATTATCATGACTTAACCTCTGAGGATATCAAAAATCTATACTATAAGCTATTTCAAGCATTAGCAACAAGTCATGCTAAAGGAATAATGCATTTAGACATCAAACCTGCAAATATTATAGTAAATGGTGATTAAATTTAATTGATTGATTGGGGAGTAAGTGATTTCTATTTTCCAATGAAAGAATATCGAACAAGAGTAGGCACTCGTCATTATCGAGCTCCAGAATAATTGATCCATTATAAATATTATGACTATGCAGTAGATGTTTGGGCATTAGGTTCTATATTTGCAACAGCTATTTTTAAGAAATATCCATTTTTTAATGGAAGAAATAATGATGATTAATTATTAAAAGTTGTAAAAGTATTAGGATCTGAAGATTTCTTTAAATTTTGTGATAAATACAGTATTTAAATTCCTGATGATCTTTATAAAAAATTAAAAGGTCATTAGAAAATATCATTAGAGACATTTATAAATGATGAAAATAGAGAATTAGCAACAGTTTAAGCCATAGATTTACTAAATAAAATATTTATTTATGATCATGCATTTAGAATAACTGCTGAAGATATTTTATAACATGAATATTTTACAGATTTATGATTTATATAGATAATCTATATTAATTTATACTTAGACAAAAGTATTATAACTTGATTAACTTTTTTATTATAATATTAATTTTATAATTAATATTTAGTTTTAAAGTATTAAAATTTTGGATTAAAAAATGCACTAATTAAATATATTAATTATTAATAATATAAATATATAATATTTTAATTATAATGAGTTAGAAAAAATAAGAAATCTCAACTTGGATATTGGCTCATACTTAGTTGGCATAAGCTTTAGAAGATGCTTGGTAGGAGTTTAGTAAGTAAAAGAGCTAAGAAGATGATTGTAATGATGAATAAGAAATCAAGAGATAATAATATGAGAAAGAGAAAAATATTGGATAAATTGTTTAGGAAGTTTGGGAAGCTAATTTAGAAAAGTTAAAGCAAAATCAAAATTAAAATAAAACATCCAGATCTAATCTTTTTGATGCTGAATGTACAAGCTACAACATTCATTAAGAGAAGAATTTTGGACTCAAAGATATTACAAGATGGAGATTATCATTAAGAGATTGTAAATTAGAATAAACTAAAATTGGAAATGGAATTGTTGAAATACAAGCATTAGAATTCAATGAAAAAGATTAAAAAAAAAAAAAGAATAAAAAATGAATTATTAAAATCTAATATATGTTGCTTTTTTTAAACATATTATCTATTAACTTAATTTAGAAATATATAATTATTTGATTTAAAATTATTAGAATTATATATTTTATTTTAAATTGTTTAATCATTTTTATCATTTAAATTGAATATCTATCAAAAACATTTGTTTTAATTTCACCTTATATATTTATATATTTTAATCTTACACAAATGGAGAATAATTATTTTATTTAAAAGAAATTGAAAAAGTATTTATTTATCAAAAAATATTTAATATATATATTAGAATTTAAATTTTGATTTAAGGTACCATAATGTTTTTAAGGATTTTAAACTATGTTATTGTTTACAAATAATCAAATGCAAAGGTCTAGTGAATAATTAAAAAATTAAAGCTTTATAGGTAATCAAATTAATTTATAATAATGATAATTATAATTGAAAATTATTAAAACATGAAATAATCTAGAATAAAAAATGGATTTAATTTTGTTTAAAAACGAAATTGAAGATTATATATTGAATAATAATATTAAGATAATGAATTTGTAGTTATATCAAAAAATGTATCCTTAAATGAACACAAAGCATTATATTTATTGTTCAGTATTACTAATGAGATCAAAATATTTCTTCCTCTACCAGAAAATAGCTTTTAGATTTAAGAATAAATTGATATTATTTTAAATCTAATAACTATTTAAAATTTCAATCTATTTAGGATATTTTACTTAAGAGTGGAACTATTAATTAGATAATAAACATTAAACAATTTATAATTATCATATAATGATCTAATGATTTCGATTCTAAAATATATTCACATAAATTAATTTATTAAAAGCAAGATGAATCAATTGAATATACTTTAAAAATCAAGAAAGTTTGCTTTAAATAACAAATTTCTATGATAATAGAATAATAAAATGAAATTATTTTTCTTTTTAAGATTAGTTTCTTATGATAGTTAAAATAATTTACATTTATTTAATATTATATACTATCTTAAGATATTTGTTATGACAAAAAGAAAATCTTGTCTTGTTACAATAATTAATAAATAAAAATGCAATATGAATGATTTCTTTCCATATTAAATTACATAATGATAGTATTAAATTCGATCTGAAACTGAAATTCTATATTATGTACTTCAATATTTAGAATGAGAATTCATTTATTAATAAATCAAATGAATGAATTTAACGATTTCAAATAATTGCGTTAAAATTACTCAAATGCTTTGGATAAAAATATTCAAAAACTTCAAGGTAGATTAAAGGCTCTTAATAATAATATCATAAACTCTACATCAGCTTAAAAAATAACAATGACTAAGAATCCAACAGAAGTGAAATCATTAAGATCATCTTGTTTGTTTACAGACAATAATTTGGCATCACCAACTGACAGATTTGAGAATAGTCAAGTTTTTGCTAATTTTAATAGATATAATAGTCTGGATGTTCCTTAAGCAAGTCAAGGGGTTTAATAAAGTAAACAATCACCAGATGTTTTTGAAAATATTTTTTTGAAATAATCGTATATCCCTTATGAATAGAAATAAATAAAATAAGCAAATAAAACAAAGCAAAAAAATACGTAGAGTAATACTTTGAAAATAACAAAAAAAGCAGAAAAAAATCATTATTTGAGTAATTAGATGAATAGTTAATCATTGTAAAATATAAAGAAAAAAGATGATATTTCTTAAGATAAAACATTAAAAATGAATATAGAGAAAAAGAAAAATCTAATTCCACCTGCTGCTTAACAAAAGACAAAAAATACATCACGTTCACCATAAAAATAAAGAGTAAAACAGAATAAACAATAAACTCCATAATAAAATCTATAGAAACCATTGTTTAATGAAATTTTGAAAAAGTTTGTTTCATCCAAAACTAGTTTAAGTAGAACAATATCTAAATCTAAATCTAAATCTAAATCAAAGTCAAAATCAAAATCTCCTGAAAAAGAATCTACTTCATTTAAAAAGAAACATAAATCAAGAGAATAAGCTATACATCATTATAATGAATAAATCACATCTTAATTTAGTCCAACATAAGAAAAATTTTAAATGAGAAATAATATAGACTACTCTCCAAGTCTTCTAAGATAAGTAAGAACATTAAGTAAAAAGAAAGGAAAAAGTAAATAGAAATAATAATAATAATAATAATAATAAATAATAACTAATCCTAGTCCAAATAAAGTTTCAGAGATACACACTTTAAGATTGAAGCATTTATTAAGAGATAAATCAAATAAATAAGATAAAAAAATAAGGACTTAAATAAGAACTACCGAATCTCCAATTTAAATTAAAGATTATAAAATAGATGTATTAAATAAAAAGTATTATTAATAGGTTCCATAAATTAAAAGTCTTGAAGACTAACCAAAAGATGAATCAAAACCAAGTTCTGTAAGATTCAATACTTTATCAATATAAAGATCTGATGAAAAAGATAATAGTGTATTAATGAATATCTTTCATGAATTAAAGAATTTATCTGAAGATCAGATTTAATAATTTTAATAAATATTAAAATAGATTAGAGTTGAAAGAAAGGATGAAGAATTATAAACTTCAATTTCTGATTTAAATTAAATTGTAGGAAATTAGAAATCAAACAATTAATCAAATTAAAAAAATAATATTATAGAAACACATTTGAAGATGGCATTAGAAGAATTTCCTAAAAAATCACATGCATCTTCACCTATGTCAAATAGCAGTTTTATGTTTA